AATCAGCATCTGTTCCGTTTCCCTCCGATAGCATTTGGCAATAATTACAGTATTTGGTGTGTGAAGTTGTCGATGACAAACAATCACAAGGAAACAAGATTCGGGAAATGTCAATGTTTCAAGGTTTGCAATTCTGCGTGCAACTAGGGGCAGCAAGCCTTTGAGGCCCTGAAGATGTTGCCAAACAAGGAAACACCGAACTGCAGGCATCTAAGGCATCTATCTATGGTATTGTTTTGGAGCTAGCACGTGTGGTTCTCTCAAAAGCCTTCACGCCCGCAGCTAATGGCACCTGCGTTTGCTGTGTGGTTGGCCCTGGCGTCTCCAAGTCTCCCAAAAGGTCTACCTGGCCAGGAATGCATTTTATGGAAGCCTGATGGAAGCCTGATGGAAGCCTGGTACGCACGTCATGCTGTCATGCTGCACCACAAAAGGATTCAAACGAACGACGCGCAAAAACATGCAGCCAGCTGCTCCGCCAGCTCCGGCAGGTTGAGTCTTTGGCTCATCCATTGACCTCGATGCACACAGCACCAAGGTATTGCGGTGAAGTGAAAATCTGCGGCTCGCCCTTAGCAGTTGTAAAACATGTAAAAATGATTCAAAAGGTAAAACGGTACAGGGGAGTGTTTCTCAGCTCCACTACAAAATTTGAGGATGATGTTTTTGGTGCAATCTTTTGAAGACATGTGCACGAGCTGAGATGGCATAAGTCTGTGCAATGATAGTGAGAAGTTCAGTGAAGTTCAGTGGGATACAGCACCTTTTGGACACACTGAGAATGGGTACACTAGACTCACTAGACCTTGCCTGTGGAGATTGGTCAGTCTGGAAACAGTTCGCTGCTTTTGGTGCACACGGTAGGCACATAGTAGGCACATGGTGGTCGATACGCAAGTGTTGGGGCTCTGGCAGAAGGTCAACCATGGGGGCCTTGGGAGCCTCCGGCCTCGAGCATCGCATTGCATTGCGCATTTGGCATGCGCAAACAACGTACATTGACTGATGTAATTCGATGGTACAAGTACAAGAATCTACAGTGTGTTACAGTGTTTATAATATATATATATTGGAATGATCATGGTAGCGTTAACACTCCTAGGGTTTCATGGTGATTTTTTGGTGGCAACAACTTGGTGAATTTTTTGGTGCGTAAATTGACCTTGATACACGACGCGTGTTTTCTGGTGATTTTTCCGTGGCAACAACCCTTGGCACCTAGACATTGAAATGATCATGGTAGCGTTAAGACTCCACGGGCTTGAAGCGGGAACGGAGCCGGAACGAAGCGGGAGCGGAGCGGGAACGAAGCGGATTCGATGATTTCAACGTTTTTTCACGGTTTTCCATGGTTTTCTTGCCTGCCGCTTCGCTCCCGCTTCGCTCCCGCTTCGCTTTCGCTCCCGCTTCGCTCCCGCTTCGCTCCCGCTTCGCTCCCGCTTCGCTCCCGCTTCGCTCCCGCTTCGCTCCCGCTTCGCTCCCGCTTCGCTCCCGCTTCGCTCCCGCTTTCTTTTTCTCGTGTTTTTAAACGTTTTTTGCAGTTTTTCCAGTTTTTTTTTTGATTTTTTGGATTTTTGAATATTTTTTTGGACTTTTTAGATGTGTTTATGTTTTTTTCCTGGAATTGTCCCGTTTCTTTTGGAAAGGATAGCAAGTTTTATGAGTAGCCCCGTTGGGAGTAGCCCAGGGTTCTTTCATCAAATGATGAAATGCTAAATATTTTTTTGACATCAAATCGTATCATTATTTAATCCGGCTTGATCAAATGCATCACAATGTTGAGGTAAAATCATATTGAAAACATCAAATGATCACGATGTTGGGGTAAAATCAAATTGAAAACATAAAATCGTATCACAATCTGATAATTCATTTCGATATGTATACTTCGATGGGATCAAGTCCAGCCATGCTCCGATCACCACTTTTGATGGTATTTGTTAATGAAGTCAAATCCAGCCATGCTCTGATCACCAGGTTTTGTCAGTTCTGACCTGGAAACTCCAAAAGCTATGTTAACGCTACTACGATGATAGCAATATATATATGTGTGTGTGGTATATGTATTATGTAGATAGATATAGATATATATATATATACACAACTAAGGATTCTTTGCACTTTCTTTTTTATCTGCTCGATGTGAGTACATCCGAAGCTGCACTAGGGAGCTGTGGAGCAGTCCAACCAGCGCCAGAGCCACGGGAGCCACCGAGTTAATTTCATCTCCAACTAAGGTCCCCCACTCTGCAGGGGCTGCAGAGGCAGAGGCTGCAGAGGCAGAGGCTGCAGGTGCTGGCGTGGAGGCGGCTCCACCGCCAGTGCCGCTATAGCTTTGGAAGTTTGGAGCGGGCCTAGGCAAAATGATCGGAAGATAATGGAAGGTATCCCAAATATCCCAAGGACTTCTACGAAGGATTTGCCATGCTGATCCTTCAGCAGCGTAATGCCCAGAGAGTGAAGGCATATCCAAGCCACTGTGGTGAAAAGAGACCGAGAAGTAACGTTCCCCTTTCGGAACCACGCGCTCAGTCCTCCTTCTGACCAACACCTACATTGATCAACAAATTCCTCAAATTTAACTCTCCAAACAAATGGCCGAGGCATTGTTTGGCTTTTTGTGGGTATTCAATGGTATTCATAATATGGTGAACACACTGCCCCAACCTGTTTGCTCAGCTCTTCCTAGCTCACATCACACAGAGTTTTCTGTGATCCAAATGATGCAATAATTACTCTGAAGCTTGTTGGGACTGGAGGCTTTGCACAACCCAGCACGGCTCCCCAAAAGGCAGCGCATTGCAAAGGTTTCCTCCATCTAAAGCAATGATGATGTGGTTGCCATGCTGAGCGTGTGACTGACCGTTGGGCAAATGACCGCCAACCATCACTGGGTTGTTTGCGCCTTTCCAGTGGACTGGTGGTCCCGACTGGTGGTCCCGACTGGTAGTCTCGCAGCTGTCACCCTTGCTGGTATCAAATCAATACTTTGTTGCGAAAATCTTGACCAAAGCCTTCTGTGCTACACAGAACCAGGTTGTAAATTGATGATAACACTGTCGACACTTAGGTCAGAAACACATATCTAGCTGATTTGGCATTGCATTTTTCAAAAATGTTGCGTTTTTGGTGTCTGAGCACTTGCAGGATCGGATTTCAACCGACTCAGTGGAAGCTGTCGCATAATCACGCCTACTACACCACCTCCAAAAGCAGCAGCATAGTGGTTCCTCAAACCGGGAAAAAATGTGCGCTGGATGAAGTTGGCTCGAGGACGGCCCAACAGGAAAAGCCAAGACCGAAAGATTCTCCATGTTACCAGAATGTTCCCTTGAATGTTTCCTTCAAGGACTCAACCCTCACAAGGATAGCACGAGTGCAGTATGACTGGGATTCATCAGTCCTGTCACATGTCACTCTTACCTCTCGCTTTCACTACATTCGTTTCTTTCAAACAACTAGCTGGCCACATTTGTCCCTTGCGACACTTGTCTGCTGAGCATCCGAACGCTGAAGTCTTTGGTGCAGCAGTCGGTGGTTGAAAGGCACCCCTGGATGCGATTGAGGTGGTCCGAACCAAAAGTCACTGTCCGAAATTGTGCTGACGCAGAGATATTGCAAGACCGTGACCATTTTCTCTGCACCACTGCATATTTGTAGCCGTTTACATTGCGTCTTATCAAGCATGGCAACATCTTATGGCATCAATTGATTCAAGGCTCCTGTGTCTACCCTCGTGAGTGTCTACAGAGTCTACTGTCTTCACTCAACTTGATGAGACTTGTTTTTTGTGAGCAACCACAGCCACAGCAACATCAAACTGGCTGGCTGGGACGCTTGAGAACCCGCCGAATAGCCCGCAGACCTACGATGCCAAAACGACTATCGATTACCTTCGATCTGAAAAATGTGCAAACAGATCTCTTCTTTTGGTCACGTAGCGTTTATTCTTGATGGCTGAGCTGCTTGAGTCCAGGAATCGTTCGAAATCGTCCGAAATAGTCCGAAATGGTCCGAAAACAACCAGTCTTTTGGACTTTTGGGTCTTTCGGGTCTGGGTGCTCGGGCTGTGCAAACTGTCCAGGCCTTGCTGCAAAGCATTGCACTCCCCACGGCGCAACACACAGTGCATCGCTCGGTGTTCCTATCGAATTTACCTAGACAATACATACTCGATTTACATGCTGTAGACTCTGTAGGCAATACAGAAAATCTATCCCTGTTTTCCACATTGATGCTCATGTCATCCCTTCACAATTGAAGAGGAAAGCATTGACTGACAACAAGTCTTGAATGATTGAGGGTTATCCTTATAGTATTTCTGAATTGATGCCATCATCACGAATAATGGCATCTTGCGTGGCGCCCCCTTTTGGCTGAGTTTCGCATAAAATTACCCATGTAAATGAAAGTTTACTCTCACTAACTCAAAGCTGTACTGGCAGGCTGTCAGAGTGGCTTTACTGCTGGATATTACTGGATGACAAAACAGCCGAATTCCAACCCTGCAACAACTGACATCTTCTGTACCAAGTTGCGCTTGCGGCTGATTCACCGGTTGGCAAATGCGGGGCTGGTCGGTCTGGCACACCCGCAGAATGCAACGAAAACAATGCTATGCAATGGTCATGAGAAGACATAGAATGCTTTCAGGGGGGATCGATCTCTACCAAGAAAGCAATGAGAAGAAAATGAATAATTGATAGCTTGATATGCAAAATGACGTCTTTGATGGGTTTGATCATTTGATCAGATTTAAACTTCATGTATCATTGTTAAAAAGCTTCGCTTTCCTGGATGCAAACTGCTTCAAAGCAGCAAGGCTTGTGATTACCTGGTCGTTACTCGCCAAGCTTATCCAAGCTTGGCTTTCGTTTGAGCTTTGTTTTTCCTGAGGAAACAGAACGTTTCAAACCGGGAGGGGTCATTTGAACATAACTGCCATCAACCAAGATGCAAAGATGTACGCAGGGTCTCATGGATAGCAAATGATAGCAACATCATGTCCCAGAACACGATCGGATGGACCCGATATGATCCGATGCGGTCTTGGGAAAACTTCCCGACTTCCCACTCCGCTCTGGGCCCGCCTCCTTTGAACCGGCCACCCAGCCCCAAATGGTATCAACGCCATCAAGTACCAAATCCAGCGCGTCAATGGTGGCATCCTTGTTGCGGCAAACCACAAAAAGCGCTACCAGGAAGTGGCAGAAGCACAAAGAGCGTGTCCAGAAGCACAACTTCTTGCCAATAACATTGGGACCAAGAGCACTTTTGATGCGAAACCACTTCATTCATCTTTCACTCTACAGAAGTGTTTTATTCACAACTTAGCAAGGTTCAACAAGAAAGCGCAGTTGCTTGGCTTTAGGATCTTGATGATCTTGATCATCTTGCTCAACCTTACAGTGCCTTACAGCTTTCTTGTCTCATGGGTCAGCTTGTCAAGGTCCATCCCCTGCCATCTCCCCCCTCGATATCCGTCCTTCAATGCGCCAACCGCACCCTTCTCTTTAAAGTCATCCACCATGTCACCTGAGACACAAGAATTCTACTCAGCCTCAGAGACATGCGAAGAGTATGCTCAAAGTTGACTCTCTACATCTCTGACCGGATTCACCAAGGATCATCTTGGATTCACTGCAGATTCAGAGCATGAGCTTATGCAGTTATGTCAAACCGTCCTTGATTTTCAGGAACCCATTGAAACCGGGAGACTTTCTTCCTTCCAAAAGTGCTTCCACAGTCTAAGAGCTTGGCCAATGGAATCGGCGACAAATTCTGCAGCCTGGCATTTCCAGCAAAGAAGATAACCATTGGATATCAAAATATGAGGCTTCTACTGGTGATACGGTACAGCTTGTGACAGGACGTTTCGACCCAGTCAAAACAGGATGCAGAACAGTTCACACGAATCTTCTGAAGCAACAAATCTTCTGAAGGCAAGCATGGATGTCGTGATGTCAAGATCATTTGATCATTTCCTTTCGAAAAACTTTCCACAGGGGTCTGTCATGAGGTTGACTTTGGGCAAGCGCGCCTGGCCAGCAACGCCTGCCTTCTTGGTAGGCTCTTCCTGGCTCATCAGCAAAATCTTCTTGATACTGGAAGAATCTGGAAGATAGCGGAGATCTGAATTCTGGAATGAATCAAACAGGTCAAGTCAGAAAACACACACCTACGCGCGCACACACGCACTCAAAACAGCGGAACCCCTTCAACGGTATTTTAGGTTGGACAGTCTGTATATTATATATATATATACTGTAATATACCTATCTATAATATATATGTGTGTGTGTGTGTTGTCTCGTCTTTGAGGCGTGACCTCATGCAGTGTTCAACTGAGCATAGGGTTTTACCCCACCTATCAATGAAACACAATGTGGGGAGCCTTGCCAAATCTACATCAGGCAACCACGTGATGATTAAGGAAGGGTAAAGAACAAGATATTTTGAACCTTGCCTTGAACGCCTTTTACTTTTGAGAATTTCAATGTAAATGCACAACACCAGGCAAATACTTGCTGGGGCATACCATTGGACTACAGAATCAGACGACTACAGTGACTACAGGACCATAGGACTCTGTCTCTATCAAATTGCTGAAATGTGGAAGAAGCATGCCACCCACAGAAAGTATTCCAGCAAATATCCGTGGTTGCTGACTGCCACCAGAGCTGGCTCCTCTGGTGGCGGCTCAAAATTGCCGAAGCCCTGTCAACAGAACCCCGGAAAATCTGGAGAAGACTTCTGCATCGTGATTCAAACGATGCCATGGCTTCCATATGCTGAATTTGAATTCCATTCAATTCTCCAATTTCTCCATGTTTTCTCCATATGCTGCAATTCGATTCTCTAATTTCTCCAGATTTAATTCGCCGACCAAAACATGTGACCGGCCTGGCACCTAGCCTTCAACGATGCACCTGCCATGGAAGCTGCGCAGATTTGTGTTCCAAGATGGAAGGTATGGCATTTCTTTGAGGCAATTCTGATCCTACTTTAATCTCAGAGATCTCGTCAAGAAACGTGGGATCTCATAATCTCATACTAAAGCTGCTTTGATTTGTCACAAGGTGCGTCCGCAACTCGCATTTGGAGCTACTTTGACTTTGTATTTGCAAAACATAAAACATGAGAGTTTTAACTGACCATGGTTGAGCTCATGAAACAACAGAATGTCTTGACCAGGTGGAAGCTGCTTTGTTGACAGAATCAATTCCAACAAGCCCACCCTCAACAAAGCTCTCTTCGGTTCTTGATCTAATGCTCAGTCATAAGTCGACTAGTCTGGACAATGGATTCAAATTGTCAAACAAGCCCGAACACCTGCTGTGGACTTCTCCACGCTATGTGGTGTCCGGATTGCTTCCTTTCGGCGGAATCACTCCAATGGCTACACAAAGTATAGGGGACGTTGTGGAAGGGTACAGAGTTAAGCGCAATGGCATGCATTAGAGTAGAGCTTGACAATGACACGGACATGATCGAATCCAACATATGTTGACGCTACCCCGCAGCAAGTTACATGATTGCTCCTTTCCCAGCCCACTGCATCTCATATTCTGTGTTCTGAACATGAGTACAAGCTGCAAAGATTTTTCGATCGGTGGACTGCATGCAATTTCGCTATGTTGAAGTCTCCGATTGGTGAATTTGACTTGTGGCTGCTCCGAAACTCAGTGGCATTATGACCCACGGATCTCCGACTCCATTTGAGGGAATTGTTATAGGAAACAATGCTCATATCATGCTCATTATATTTGTGGACTGGATGGGAAGTTGGACGTCAGCTTCGGTCCAGCGCAGACTTCGTTGCATCGCGCACAGTTCTGACCTGAACCCAAGACCCCGACCCAAGCCCAGTGAGCAGTGAGCCCAGTCCCAGTCCGTGTGAGAGCATCAGAGCGCAGACAATCGCCAGGACATCATGCTACAATTTCCAGAATGACATGCTACAATAGTAAATCAACCTGGCCAGCAACAGTATACAATAGTATACAATAGATATATTACAGTAGTAGCAATTTGTTTCTTTGTAAATTCAGCTGCTTCCCTGACAATAGGCAAAGAAGTCTGGGGTGATGCAACCAGAACTCTTGGGACAACTGCACGACTGGTATTGTCTCCCTGACTGACCAATATGAGGTTTTGCAACAATCCACTACAGAAACTGCTTCTCCCTTTCTTATGCCCAGTCACCTCTTGAGGTTCGATGGCACGTGCCTGCAAGTCGCTAGTGTCTGATACACACAGCCGATGATTCTGATAGTCACCAGAAAATGCACATTCCAGCTTCCAAAACGGCCAATCCAACCTGGGGCACAATGGGAGGGGCCGCAATGTCATCCATAATCTTCAACGCCTCAGGGCTCCAGCTGTGCGGGGTGATAGCTGCCAAACTGAAAGAAGTTTGCATCCTTGCATCGACACATCCAACACCCAATACCTACAGACTGCACATTGTGCTCAACTTGGGAGCAATGCTTGGGACCCAGCTCCAGGACACGACAAAAGATAGTTTTGGAAGGTCACATCCTTCACATTGGGAACGTGTCAGAAAATGGCATCTGGGAAAAAGTCAACACATAGCCAAAAATAGTGAACCGGAACAGGTGCCCGTCATTCAAATCAGTCAGGCTTGGCCTTTTCTGTTCGATACTAGAAAATGATCCCCTCTTTTCACTCCATGTGAGAAATAATGATATTGTATGAAGCTCTGCAATACCAGTCGTGACTTCGACGATTGATACGTTTTAGCGGTGTCTCCTCTGACGCGATATGCTTGATGCATAGCACCTCAAATTGGCACAGGTCTATATGCATTCGAGTTGTTGATATGCTTTCCATTGCTTTCCAACACAAAAACCTACAAGCTCTGGTGGAAATGAAACAAATCAGAACAACATCCAGGAAATTAAACTATGCACATCATGCCACTCACTGTGTCCCACATGCCACACCAATCCACACCACTTACACCGTAGAATGAGACTCTTGGTGACGAAGAACACGTTCAAAGATTTCAAAGTAATTTGAGCCGCACCGCGCGTTGATGGTCTCGACGTGGTCTTGACCGTCTCGACAGTCGTTTGCCAAGGACCCGGACGCCTTTAAGTTGGATGTTGAGCTGATCGCTGCACACGCACTGCATCAAATACTCCGCCACATCAGGGGTGTCCTGAAAACGAAATCGTCATGCGTCCCCCGGGAAGCTTTTGTGCAGTGGCAGAAACCTGGGTGTACAAAACCTGTTAAGTACATGACTTACACAACCATACACAACCCAAGTATCACCTGAAAAAATGCCAAGCCCTTGCCGAACCGATGTCCTTTGGGTTGTTCCGGACCTGGGGCAAGAAGGGCAAGCAGGGACTCCATGCAGGCAATTGAATTGCGTGAAGTTCCAGTGCAACTTTGGAATGTCGTTGTGCCAAAAGCAGAGCAGTTCATGGATGAAGTATACTAAGTATCCACGTTGAATCACTTGTCACACCTTGAATTTATTCAAATCCACTTCGACACACCATCTCCGGCTAAGGTCGCCGACATCCCTGATAATTTCGTTGAATAGCCACCCAGGAGTGGGCCTCAAGGTATTTGACCAAAAGGATCCAAAAGGATCCAAAAGGCATGTTCTGATCATCAAGTCCACCAACTAGATTATTCTGGATGTGTATCATCCAAGAAAAGTTTCAACTTCCAATCTTTGTGTGCGAGATCATGTCATTATTTTTTGGCCGTTTGATGAATTTAGATTGTGATCGTGTGTGAATCAATGGACTTTTCAGTGGCGGCCAATCCATTCACCAGGATTCCCAGGACATCCTGTCGACTCCGAAGGTCAGCACTGGGGCTTTGGCTTATTATCAGGCGTAGTTGCCTGTACACACATGCTGCAACCAAAAGAATCCAAGAGACACAATGCAGTTGATTGATGTACAATTTGGGGAGAATGTAGATCATTCTTGCATCAACTTGCCTGGATACTGCACGATGTAACAGGTCAGTGCGTTTCAGCACTCAGTACTCTCGGAAATCAAGAGGCCCAAAAAGCTCTTCAATTGGCAATGTGATTTCATCGACATCATAAATTATACTTGTTTATGGAAAGATATGGAAAGAACAAGTGAGAAATAGGCAGAGTTCGTGTCAACGCTGTCATCTCAGAGCTCCCAATGAAGAAAGAAACACTATTAATAGGCAGCAAAGCGCACAGGGACAGAATTGCACTTGGCTCCATGCAAAGTCCCAATCATTCGGCATTGTCTCTAGTTTTTTTTTGCATCTATGTTATGTAGAGTACTTGGGCCGGTACATTCTGCAGCTGGTTCCAGTTCACCATCCGCGGATGGGGGCGCCCTGGCACAAGGCTTTAGATATTTGCCAAGCAACTTGTAACGAAGTTCACTCTATCTCTGAATCGACCCTTGAAAAAAAGGATCGGATGTGCTCTGACATGAAAGATACCTAGTTAGGACCTAGTATTGCCTAGGGCCTAGTACTTCAGTCTGGAATCCATGGAGCCAACAAGCGTGGCCGAAAGCATCTAGAATAAGCAATCAAAATCAATCAAATATTTCATCCCCCGCATTCTGATTGCTGATTGATTTTCAAATTCAATAAGCATCAAGAAGCGGTCAACAAGGTATCAGGCTCACGACCGCAGCCTCACCCCATGGACGACTCGACTCAAAGCAGTGAGCCGTAACAGCTGCGACGGCAAATGGTGTCATTATTCAAATCAAATGTGACCGCCAGTTGCTGCATAATTGTTCCATCTGGTTTGAATGGCCAAGCCATATGAACATTATAACATGATGACAAGAAGCCACAATGAGGATAATATTTGTGTTCCATGGGAAGTGGGGAAAGAATATCAAAGAATGCCTCTGTTGATCTACTTAGCAGTCTCCTATCCGGGGCCGTGCCCTTTTGACCCGGCATAGGATTGGATTGGATGATTCCATTTCAAGCATCACCTGCCTCTCAAGTTCTATGCCCATGGCGGACAGCTGCGCAATACTTTTGCCTCAAACAGCGATGAATGCTGAAAGAGCAGCACCTCGTTACCTTGGCGATGGCTTGCAATGCTTGCCATGCCAGTCAAACAACTGTACCATGTAAATCCATGTAAAAATGTATCCGTACGTATTGTTACAGAGGATATTTATGCACGATAGCTCCTTGCACGAGGAGCGGTGCCATCAAATCTAGATTGAAGGAGAGTGTTCACAGGATACCGAACTGTAGAGATATGAACTCAATTTCTTGCCCTAGTAGGGTTCGTTTCCAAGAACTCATTGGAAGAAAGCAATAAAGTCTGATAGTAAAGTATACAACTAGTGGTTACATGTGAGCCCAACCATCTGGGAAGTATTGGATCGTATTTGCTCAGAGTCTTGTGTATCCGTGCAACATGCAACAACAATGCGATGTGAAAGCAGCGGCAAAATGGCCAAGAAGGTTGGTGGATTTCCTGCATTTCCTCGTTCCGAATCGCTAGGCCACCTTTGGTTTTGTCCGGTGTTCAAACTAAAAGAGCTTTCTGATTCTTCAGCCGCAGATGTATGGATTCAAAAGAATGTGAGAAGGCAGCGCTCTCGAGATTTGTGACAGGTGTGTTGTGAGTGTTCCGGAAGTGTTCCGGATAGATGATAGATATGATATGATATGATGATATGATATGACAGATACATCGGGAGAATGCGACTTCCCAGCCCAGACACCCCAACTGGTCCAGTGAGGCCGAAGGTTTCCTGAGACACATCGGAAGCCCGTCGGGCGAAAACCGCCATGGCTGACCAAACCATGTCGCACAAAGGCCATGTCGGCCTGAAAAGGAACACATCCAGAAGCTGTGCCCTGAGCCACTGGCTTAGGACTACAATGAACTACAGGAACTGCTGTTCTTTTGTTTTCTCAATCCTCCCTTTAACTCTTTATCTTATGGAAATGTTCGTGAGGTGTTCACACTGGCTTCACCCACTGAGAGTCTTTGAAGCAACTTTCCACATGTGTCCAAACTTTCAGCGAAGCTTCTTGCGAAGATCTCCAATTTGGACTGGCTCTTTGGCAGCAATTCGTCCAAAAAGGGCTTCCTGAGCAATACACGGAGTCTGAAAGTTGAGCGGATTGCTCGCAAATCTTTTTGCAGAACTTACCATAGGCACGAGTAAAGATATCTGTTTGCAAATCTTTTCAGGGGAAACGGCGAGGCAAGAGTGTGGAGAGTGCAAAGTATTGAACATGTTCAAAACTCACGTCGTCAACAATGATTACGCTCTCCCTCTCAGCACAACAGGCCGTCCAACGTCCAAAACTTACCAAGATTTTGCCAAGAGTCTGGCTATGATGACAGGGACTGCTGCGAAAACTTGATCTTTTCGCTCCTGGGATGTTTGAGGACATGAAAATGCTAGGTGAACCAGGGTCAATCAATGGTAGCAGTCTGTTTCTGGAGTCCAAGTACGAATTCATGTCAACCACCAAGCGGTTGTTGACCTCTGCTGAACTAAAACACAGAGGACATGGATGGACATCGTATGACATGGACATAGCCACATAGCTGGCAGAGCTTTTGGTTTCGCTTCGCGGCAATCTCAACGTCCTCGCTCTCTGCTTCTGCGGCACTCTTCCTCCAAGTGGCATCAAGTGGCATTCTCTTTCTCTCTCTTCTGCATTCTCCAAGGTTTCCAGGAAGAAAAAAAGGAACCCGCACAGCATTCGCCCAGCCGTCGATTCCGTCGATACCCCCAAAAAATACAAACATATAAAAACATATAAAAACTGTATGAAATCGTTGCGCGGGTGAAATGTACAGGTGCCAGGTGCCTTCCCACCAGAACTTTCTCAAAGGGCAAACGTGGACGTTCGCCGAAAGGCAGCAAAGGCTCCCCTTCATTGGTCACCTACCAGGCATCACTGCTCACAGCACTTGTAGCATTACAATCATTACAAACCTGCAAATGTTCATCCCGGACCTTAAGTAAGGCGAATTGTAGATGGGATAGTGACAGTGTCAAAAGCCAGTGCCCTCACACCGCACAACAGCCCCACCACCACCACCAAAAGGATCCTTATCAACTCCGCATAGAACCAAGCAATTCTTGACCAACACCAAAACAAAAGGCACCAAAGAAATCCAACAAAGAGTCAGCATCCTGGAACATTCAAACACTTGGCCCTTATTGTTTGTTGATCTTGTTGTAGGATGCCTTCAGGCCTTGATCCAGGTCCAACAACCAGAGAAACGCAGGCTCCAAGCAGGAAAGAGCTCATCTAAGACAAACGCCTTCGCAGTGGACCAGTCGGCCAAGTCTCAGAAGCTGCCAACTCAAGAGTCAAACTAGTTCCTACAACTGACAGTATAGCTTGCTAAAACCCCGAGACTCAGAGCATAAGATTCATAAGATTTGCTTCAAGATCTCTGTCATTGTGTGCCATTGGCTCTCAACAATTAAAAATACCCTGGGGAGTTGCAGTCGTTTTGAAGGGAGTTGCTCACTGCGCCAAAGAAATCAGAGGTTTCTTCTTCGCAATGTCCAATCGAAAAGGCAATCTACCAGAATTGTGATCAGCAAAGAAGTACAGTAATAAGGAGAGTCTGTATTGTTTTTGCCGTCCTTGCCGTTGCCGACCTTGCCTGCTTCTTGGGGTCATTGGTAACCTGAGTGCTTGGAACAATAAGCATTGCGCCTGTCCTGACATCCAGTCTGCGACTGCTATGGCGCCATACCCAAACGGCCACCATGGCCTCAGACGCAAGCCTCAGTGAAACAGCGAGACTTAGCAATACTTCGAGTCAAAGACCTGGCAAATTGCTCGAATTGAGCAATAAATCAGCAATAAAGTAATAGTGGTATTAATAGTGGTACCTGTTGGGCAATTCTACTTGATGCTTGGTGCCATGGAAACCCATTGTTGTGATGCCGTGTCGAGGGAAAAGAACAACACAACAAAACGAAGCGCATTTGAAATCCAGCTCTCTTGGCCTCTAGAAAATTGCATACAACGCCTACAAAGAAGAAATGTATCTGTATGCGCATCCATACACACATTGAACATGTAATACATATAAAATGAATTGAAATATATCAAGAGGAGCAAATAGTATTCTGATCGATTCTGATCATTCTCCATCTATGTTTCTGTTCACAACACTTCATAGTGCCAAGTAGCAGCTTTTCCATGGGCAACTGCAACAACTGCTGAGATTGGCAGCACTTGTACCGGACACCTCACCACATCTCACCACATCGCGCCACGTCAATTGTGGTCCGTCCATGACGCAGTGAAAAAAATGAAGTCAGTGGAGCAAAACCAGCTGGAAACATGCCGCTTCAGCCTGAATTGGGTAGTGAATCTCCTTCACATCCAGATTCACGTTACCAACAAATTAAACACAAGGGCGAAACGAACAAAGATCTGCTCTGGCTTTTGGGTAGAATCCAGTTGAGAAATGGCTTTTCCACGAGAGACAAGAGTATCTTCACATCTCTGAAGGTCTTGTATAAGGTTCACAAGCCAGTTCTTTCAATATGCATGGAAGTTAAACCAAGTTGGATTTACGAAAAATAATAGAGAATAATTTTGATGGATGCTGCTGCAAATCGGTTTCTCGACAGTGCTTGATCACTTGACCTGCACTTAATCCTACACTGTCCTACACTGTCCTACACTGTCTCCAGAGTCTACACTGAGTCTACACTGAGTCTACACTGAGTCTACACTCTGCTCAGCTGTTCGCCCTGCCACTGCCCATCGCCAAGCCTCTGCTCTTGCTCTCCCATGGTGGATCCAAGACCACCACCTCGAAGCCGCTCTCTGGGCAGAGCTCCAAGATGCGGTTGCCGGAGAAAACGTCGTCCTGCGCGTCACAGTTCCACCTCTTCCAGATTCTTTTGAATTTCTGTGAGACTATTTTGAGAATTGGAGAATGAGTCAGAATGAGTGCTTTCCACAATTCAGACTACCCCCAAACCATGGAAGGCATAGTAGTAGAACTCCTGTGTTTCAGAAACTGTTTGATGAAAGGATGTCTCATGCGTTCATGCCTGTGACCAGGCCGGGGTGGTCGGATGCACAGGCCCTTTGCAATGAGACAAACTTGGAATCTGAACAATGACTACGTCGTGACTATGTATAACGTTGCTTCCTCGTTTCCAGAGTCTGTTTCGGCCCCAAATTTCGACATAAAAAAGGAACATCTCTCATGCGCTCCTGCAACCATGCGCTCCCCGCTGGAAGTACAAATCCCCTCTCTTCTATCTCAGCTGCACACCTGTTATTGGAAGGTGATCCCATACAAGCCCAAACTTCTGACTCAAATTTATCGAATGTATCACAGGCTGGTCAATTATGATGAAACCCGCAAATGATGGTTGACATCCAAAACACCTAGACTCTAGACCGTCATGAAATCAAGAATCTGTTTGCTTGATTCCTGTCACTGAACAACATCAAACTGCTGCCGGCAAACAATACAAACAGACTTCGAGCTGCTCGGGACAAGGTTCTGTGTCAAGTGTTGCGAGCAAACAACTTGTTGGCAACTGTGCCATCATGTGTGCCATCATGTGTGCCATCACGTGTGCCATCACGTGTGCCATCACGTGTGCCATCCTGGCAAAGCTTTTTTTTGGAGAACCCCGAACAACTGTTGAGTTGAAACCTTGTGGAGTGCCCAGCTGCCTTCCCATGAGCATGTCATGAGGTGCTCTTGCATCATGAGTGACTCGCCTCGGGCAGTGGAAGTTGTAGTGATGCAGTGATGCTCTTGTGGAGGTGATTGCTGGACGTGTTGTATCTTCACCAATAAAACCTCCAAGACACAAACCGCCAACATTGTGAGTCCGGCCAATGTGGCAGACTTGCTGGGATTTGGCACCAAAAAAAAACAAGTGCTGTCTGAAAGGATTTTGTACTGATAATACAACGAGTCGTCCTGCTTGCAAGTCGCAAGGCTCCGAGAGAAAGCATTTGTAGCATAATCATGCTGAAGCAACATGGAGATGCCTCGGTGCCCTCTTCCAATTTCTAACAGTTTGTCGCTGGACACCCTATGGCCGAGTCACTCGACGCAAGTCTCTTCGCAAGTGGCATGTCGGTGCCTGAGGTCACAATTCTGCGGCCAGAAAGCTTGCAAAGGAAACGGACAAACTGACTTTAACTTCAATCAGATTCCATCACCATAACTGCCATAACAATCGGCACATACTCCAACTGTTCCATGACATCAAGACACAACAAAACATGGTGCCAGTTCGTGAGTCTTTTTTTCGAACTGGACCCCCGCAACATGTTCTACCATCTCCCTGACCTTTTCGTCTGACGATTGGTAGAGCTAGCTTGGTCACATGCCATGCACAAGGATCTGTGTCACTCCAAACACACACCTTTTGTTTGAACAGAACAGCAGCCCAGGTTTGGAGACCCTTCTGATTTCTTCTTGAAGCTGCAAAAGCACCATTCTTCGCATCCTGAACCTCTATTCAACTCTATTTGTCTCCAACCCCCAAACTTGTGTCTCCCTTGTCTCCCTCATCCACCACTTAATGGTGAGGAACATTTCCGGCATTTCATCGCATAAGCTTCTCAACTTTTCCTGCTCTTCTGGTAGGGTGCCAGAAGCTGTCCAGTTGCTGCACACGGCCTGTCCAAAGCATGGCGCAAACTCAAGTGACCGATGGAAACCATGGTGTGTAAATACTAGCAATTCACTAGCATCCTTCAAACTTTGCGCCAACTGAAAGCTGCCTCACGCTTTCGTTTCTTGGCGCGGAAGAAGGGTTTCGGTAAACAAGCCCTCTGCTTTGGCCGAAAATATTGGTAGTCTCGGCATAGCTGCACATCGATATCGCAGAGTTGGAGTGGCATGGCCGGCTGAAAAATTGGGAAGGGCTGGCTATATGGGTGGCCATAGAAGACCTATGAAAAGTGATTGCTTTCTGTTGATTTCAGCAATCCGGCAGCCAGTGGAGATGTTACAATTTCTATGTGTTCTTTTGCGAAATTGGGGTGCTTAAGAACAGCAGCTTGGACCAACAAGACAAACTTTGGCATAAGTGCCTGGACAAAAAACTTTCTTGAATGTCTTGCCTGAATATACATACATGCATACATACATAACGTAACATAACATGACATGACATGGCATAACATAACATAACATAGCATAGCATAACATTACATTACATTACATACTGTATATGGTACAAATATATTATATCATTATATCATTGTATCATTGTATCATTATATCATTCTATCATTCCATCATTCTATCATTATATCATTATATCATTATAATATATGTCTATTGTATTGTGTAAATCTGTCCTGTATGTGTATATATATATATATATAATTCTATATTGTGTATTTTATTTAGATAGATAGATAGATATGACTCCGATGGTTTTGTCCTTGGCAACAGCTTAAAGGCGAGCCAAAAAGCCGTTGGGATAGCGGTGGCAGACTCGATAGCTGATAGCTGTTGAATCTTCTTTTGCATAGAACCTTGGGAGGGACTCCAGCTACAATTGGCAATTCAGTTGCTGTAAGTTTCAGGTTTCCAACAGTTTTGCAAATTGCAGATTTCTCTACTAATTTTGCATGTACTGTCATGCCATTTCTTTTCGATCCAAACCCAGGTCCTCCTTCCCTGCATTTGCCCAGGCTGGCATCCCCTATTTTTGGCCGCCGTGTGGCCATTTCGGTCGATCCGGGTGGATCTACAAGCTTTCTGAGCCATCTCTGAGTCGTAACAGAATAATAACAGTGGAAAACAGATTAGATCAGATTAGCACCAAAAATGCTCAGCTCATGTCAGCTCATGTCAGCTCATGTCAGCTCCCCAGCTGCCACGGCACCGTGGCCAGCTGATGTGAGCCCTCGGAACTCTTGGCACCTTTGTAATATTTTGTCATGATTTCTCGACACACGATACACCAGTGATCTGCCATGGTCGAAGGCTCACTCCGAACTAAATCAGCCAATGTCTGAAAATATACTGCGTGAGTGCAGGAAGCGTTGCCCTTCCCCCTGCAGTTTTGCAGGACATTTATTCAGGTGCCTTCGTTTCGAAGGTTGCAAACCTTGATGAACGAATGCAAACTTCATGCACTTCAAAAATCTCTCTGTGTGTCATTGACTCTCTAATTTCGACATATCTGTTCTATTCCATTCTTCATTCTTGCATGCTTGACGCCACACGGCAGCACCATGTGAGCTATATTGGACTGGTTTTTTAGTGACACTTGGGGCATGCTCCGCTGGGCTGCAGGAGCACATCCTTGCTGCAGGCTTAAGTTGAGGATCCGCTGCAATTTCAACACCAAGGTCTGCAATCGATTACACCTGCAGTACTACGTGAAAGCGACAAAAGGGCAGCTTTAGGACAGGACACTGCTGAAGCCAGACTCAGAAAAATGCAGAATTTGTTGAACATATTTCGGTTCGATGGTGAGCAAACCTGTGTTCCAAATACGTTGTTGGTTATGAGGCACAGGAAGACATTGTCACACACACATCACTCACCAAAAGTGAGCTGTAGTATGTTGCAGTCGTTCACTACCTTGGTGCAATATCCACCCATGTTGCACATTGACCTGAAAGGAATCAACATTTCTTGCAATGAAGTTCCGTGTAGTACTATGTAGTGCTATATAGTAGTTGGTTTCTGGTGTCAAGGTAAACCAGTTGTGCGAAAATGTTCCATACACAGCAGCCCTACAAATTATAGAGGGGCGCAAAATGGGCGTGTAAGGATTGGTATTCAACTGCTATTTGGCAATGCGGTGAATGAGCACCTGTCGAGACAGCAGTTACATAAAGCAGGTGCTTTGAATGCGGGGAGAGTTCCTCCTTTGCTCAGTCTTCTCTTTGGAACAGACCCAGCTGAGGTTTGGTTCATCCTCAAATAGATAAACAAGGATAAACCAGGGCTTCCGTTCTATTCCACTAAACTAGAGTCAATACATTGCTAGAGTCGCTCTGTACATAGATCTTGAAGCTGCCACAGTCACCACCTTTCTGCCGCTTCGAAATCGTTTCCAGCTAATGATGCTAATGAGATACTTTGTAAAGTACGCAACTTGATCCGCAGCCGCGGACGCCGCGTCGAAGCAGCATTTGTGCTGCCTCACCAAATTTATCGGGACACTGTTGCTTCTTTGCCCAGTGTTTTTCACGTGACTCGAGACTGGTGACTAGTCCATAACAGCCTTGATGAGGTGGCGAACGTGATCAAACTCGGTCGTCTACTGAGAGCTTTGCCTTCAAACCTATACCAATCATGAATATATAAGGAATACCAAGCAATCATAACCGATCGCTAGTCGCAGAGCCTTTTTGCTCTGTCCTCCATTGGTTTTGGTCAAGAGGAAAAAAACCATTGACTTCTGAGACTGGGATCTCTCCATCAGTGTCCCAAAATTGAACTCTGACAGACTCCTAGTGCTCTGAGCGCTGAGCCTGAACGATTCGCAAACGAAGACGATGCGCTGTAGTGCACTGTCGACCCGGAAAATCTGCCGTTGAAGATTCACGACATTTTGGGACACAACGGAAACGAAGCACCACTTCGGAGCAAACACAGTCAAACAATCAAACAATCCACCAGCACAGTTCCATTGCACTCTGTACTTTGCACCGCAATTCGTCCTCTGGTTTACTTATAAGCCGAAATCAGCCATTTGCAACCCTGATGGCATCTGTATACCGGAGAAAACTATGCCAAGATTTGCAAGACTTGCACATAACCCGCACACGACACAAGAACCAAACTCTACATAATAACAAAAAAATCGAGGTGTCTCGCCTTTTTGTCACCTTTTTTCTCTGAAAGTACAGGGGGAAGCACAGTGGTTAATCTTTAGGTTGTTAAGCCCTTTAAACCCTATGTAGAACCCATGGAAGATCCTGGGATTCGTTGTGGTTCCTCAATGCCTGCATGCATTATCATGCGTCAAAAATGTGTTGTTTCGTTCCTGCTATGCTCGTTTCAGAACGGACAGTTTCGTGACTTTCTCAAAAGACTCTGAAGTTTCATGATGCAAAAAACATGTGAATAGGCCCTCTGAGATCCTGTGAGATTGTGTGAGATCCTGCGAGTCAGAAAACAACGCAAAACATACTCTGATGATCTTTGATGTTAACCTTGATGCCTGGTTGCCACACATGTTGGCTCGCACAAGCGAAACCTGCCAAAGAAACGATGGTCTAAGGTCTGCCTGTATTCGGACAGACATATGACTGTGCTTGTGGCACATGCGACATCAGCTTAACAACAGTCTTGACACCAAAAATACTTTGAACATCTTTGCACAAACATTTGCTGGCGGTGTCAAGTCTGGTCATGTCTTGTCATATTTTGTCATGCCATTCTGGAGGATACCGGTGATAAAAAGACTTGGAAAGATGCCACACAAATTGATGGAGGTTGATGTCTTCGCCACGCCCAACTTTTTTCTGGGCATCGGATTCCCACGGAACAGCCATGCCCGGAATGGCACTTGATCCTCAGCATTGTCTGCCACCTGGGATCATCCAGAGAGGACGTGCAGCCCATGCCGACCCTGTTTGCAGTTCATGGGTGCATTTCGATAAAACATTGCATAAATTGCTACAGGGATATACAATGATGTACAGTGAGTGTGTCAAGGTCAATGGTACTCGGTCCAATGTTTTTCCTCTCAGCTTTCATGTGTTTGACATCAACTCGTACAGCCTCTGCGAGCTCTTCGCTTCGCGCTTTTGGACCCATGACACCTCTGAGTCTCTGGCACCCCCGCAGACTGCGTTGAAAGCGGTCAGTGCCTTGGGATTGACTGAGCACTGGTCGCGAAGAACTCTAATTTAGCACTCATGGCAAGAACATGCTATGCAATTGAGGCTGTTGCCAAAGACTGAATGAATTGGTATTGACAATTGCTTAGGTTTGAGCTGTTTATTTGCATTGCAATGTCAAGATGGTACCGCTTTTGTATCATTCTGAAGGGCATAGCAAGTACCAACAGCACAAAAGCGGGCAACTGGTCAAGAATGTATTGTTGGCAGTGTTGAATCAAACGTGAATCTCGCAGCGTTTTTCTTCAGAGCACCTTCCCTTTGCTATCTGCATTCAATCACCATTCCTCTCTGCCCGAGCATACCGAGCCAGCCGCATCAAAGATCATCGAAAGTCTGTGACCTTGGGGGCAAATTGACAACCCGTTCCTGAACGTTCCCACCGCACTGTTGTGTTTGACATTTTTTGTCACTATTATATTATACCGAAACCTCGTGAAATCGGTCAATGAATCTTTCAATTCATGACTGGGAGCAGTACCACCGCCGAAAGCATCATGCATCAGAATCACTATTCGAACTGAGCTGATTCCAAGACTAACCAGCCACTTGCACCAAGTTGCCTCTGCTCGCAGGCCCAGAGCAGAAGCCGCAAATTGGAGCTCCTCATGCGAAAACTCCACGGAGTTTTTGAACTAATACTTATGGTTGATCACGTTTTCACTTTTAAACATGTTGGATTGATATGGATTGATGCTCATTATTACTCATTATGCTCATTGTCTTTCAAAATGCAACGACCTTGTCAAGGCCGATCCTAAGATCTGTTGTCTATGGACTAATTGCATAGTCTTTGCATGTCTTTGCATGTTACTGTCGGCATTTGTCCATCGCCTGTTGGACTCATGGCAGGTTCAATGCCTATTTGAGAGCCATTCGCCAAGATGGCAACATTGGCATCCTTTTACAAACGTTTCTTTCATACACCTCATACACCTGTCTATGAAGCAGAAGTGGAGTTCCCAATTAGTCTATTATTCTCATATATGTCGCCAATAAATTCGCTCTTGGACCTCATAATTCGCATTGCTCATGAGCTATATGAGAGTGTGGGCTTTCAGTCTTGTTCATGACAAATCACAGTTGGCTCGGCTCTTGCCTAATTTACTACTTAGAAAATTCAGAACGGAAGATATAAAATGCGAACTGCAGCCACCGGAAAACCAAGTCCTTGCAATATACCAGATCACCATGAAGGATCCTTGGTGCATTTAGCAGCGAAGTTTCTTGGTTGTTGAGTCCACAGTTGGGTATTTGTATTGGTCAGCTGTTGGCACAGGAATGAATGGCAGTAAAGACCCTCATCTCATGTCAAAGATGTCAAAGATATTTTCTTCTCACACTTTGGAATTGAAGGGTAAACAAAATCGAGGCTGGAGCTCACCGATCGTGTGTAACATTGTGCAACCGGGTTCCATCCAAACATATGCAAACCAAAATTCACATCTTGAAATTAGACAATACAAGCACATGCACACAAAAGCGGCAGGTTGGTAAAGCACAGGCAACTGTTCCATTTGAAACGTTGAGGCGTCCAGATCTGCGGAAACGCTGCATCCAGTCGAGGTGCCAAGATCATATAATTTGAATTAATCTGATATGAATTGAGGCTGAAGTGTTGATTCTCATGTGCAAGCAGCAAATTTGTGAAGGCGCCCAAGCACTCTCTGAGTTGAAAAGGTGACGTATTTCAGTTGCTTCCGTTAAGTGCAATTTCTTGGAATGCGCTTGTCATTGCTGCCTCCAACCACAAAACCCCCTACAGGCCGACCACGTTTTTTGAATAGTTTCGACTAATCAAGAGCCTGGCAAAGCCATACACTTTCAGGAATGAACCAGAAGATAAGAGAAAGGCATAGAACGACTGACTCTAAGAGTCTAAGAGGCTCATTTGAAAATGTCTTGAGTCTCCTTCAACCTAGGAACAGAGGACCAGTCATTCAACGACAGGTAGTCCACTTTAGAGTCGAAACTGTTTTTTGAATCACATATGACATCGTGTCGTGTCACAAACTTGTCATAAAATACGTTGTCAACATATCATTGTTGTCACTGTTGCTCCCCGTTCAGCACAGTCATGTCATAGTCATAGTTAAAATCATTGCTGATATTTGCTGATAATCTTTCTGGATCTTTATGGGAATTCCATGTACGCATCTCGGTTCATCTGAAAAACTCCTTGACTGTTGCTGTTTCTGCTACTCACTGCCTACTCACTGCTACTCTGCTACATTCTGCTTCTATCTACACGGTCCAGTGCATCTGACGCACCTTGGCGCCAGTGCTTCTAATGGCCGAGCACGCTGGGTGGCACAGCGAGATACAGGGGCTGCGCTCTCGTCCAAAGAAATGTTGCTACATAAAGGCTACCATTGATGGCCTGTGAAGCGTTCAGTTTTGACAAAATAGGAAACCAAACGACTACATGATCATTTTTTTAATATCGATGTTACAATGCAATGCCCCTGTGATCATGTAGAAGTCCCTCATCCAACGGAGTGATGCTCATGGAAAGAGTTTCAAAGTTTAGCCTCTCAGTGCTCACCCGTGTCACCCGTGAACGAAATGGATGTGCTCAAGGCTTTCGAAAGTTGACCCCAGCGTACGTACACTCACCTTCCAGTTCCTCCTGTGGCATTGCAGCTGCGGCAAACCCAAGATATGCATCAAATCAGATAGACCAGGTGCATGCAAAAGAAACATAAGGAATCATAAAGAATCTAGCTGCTCTAGCTCTTCTGGTATCTCCAACAGAAACTTCGGCCGACGATTCCACCTTAGAAGTCTTCACCAAAGACCGCCAATGCCAGACGTCCTCTACTCTCCACCCACCTCAAAACCATCTGGAAACGTCGGCCCTGGGTTTTCCTCGATCCGGAGCAGCTGGTTATATTTGGATAAACCTCAGCTGAAGTCCCGATGTCATGATGTTGACACAATGAATTGCTGAACGCTGTTTCCCAATTTGGACCTCAACTTCAACTGCACATGACTCTCTCAATCTTTTTGTCGCGCAAGCCGCAAAAACATGAGCTTGTACGGCTTGTACCATTTGAGAACTACAGGGCAGAAGCGGTCAGGTTTACAGCCACTTGCAACTACTTGCAACCACCTCTATTGATTGTAGCAAGGAACGTTCGGAGCGGCAGGGCGCTCCGGTTTTGATCCTCAGAGCCGCAGCTTCTTTTGTTGGGACACCCTGGGCCATTCCTTTTCATGTACATGTGTTCTTCACATACTTGCTCTATCAGTGCTTTGATAACAGATAACCACAGTACTTTGCACCACCTAAACCAACTAAGCACGGGCGGCTTACAACATGCTGGCGAGCCACGAAGTCATACTTGGATGAAAAAAATATATATAAAATACGCCCTTTATACTATATTGTCTTGTGATGTCGTGTGCGTATGTGCTGGGAAGGTGCTGTTCCTTTGATTGGTTTTGGGATCTGACAGAAATGGATAGATTTGGTGAACTCAGCATTGCAAATCCAAATAGGAGTAGCCCAGCCTAACTGGAGCCTATTCATCCTTGCTGAAACATACACCAAATCACTCTGAAGTATCAATGGAATTCAATGGATCTTTACCAGGGTATCTTCGTTCCTGCTGACAATACTGGACCTTGAGGCCAGTACTGACCCGCACGAAGACCCACCACCAGGTCTGCAATAAACGAGTCCTGGACAGTCTGGACATTACAGAATTACAGAAGTGCAAACTTCCAGCGTCCCCATCTTCACTCTCCTTATCTCTCCTTGCTTCAGCAAGCTGCTGCAAATTGTATGAGCATTACAATTCATCGTTGTGTTACAGTGACCCTGGTACGGGTGCTTGCTGGAACAAATCGCATTTTTGATTAGACCTACCAAGCGTTTCTCGTCAAAAGGGAACGCCGAACTCCAAAAATGTAGATTAAAAATAGGTGAACGGTGAAAGTGAACTATAAATAAATAACAACTATACTAAAGCTCTGGAAAAATCATGTGCCGTCTGTTGCTCAGAAGAAAGCGCAGAACCTTTTCACTCCAGAAACCTAAACTGACGTGCTGTCGAATTTGCTGTCGACTCTGCGGTGCTTTGTGCACACCGTCGGGCTATGCGAAGCCGAGGTCCATTAGCTAGTCACAGGGCTCCTGTGACAGATTCAATCGATGTGCAAACTAATCGAACAAAGGCTGGGAGGCTGAAAGCACACTTGCCCGCCAAAAGAACTGTGTAAAGGCTTTGTCTGCACATTGCGAAAATTGCGAAACAATAGCAACGTCAGTTTGCCCAGCTCGAGGCGGCACTCACCTCTCAGGAGACGAGCTTTCTGGCAGATCCTGAGAGGTGTCGAGAGCGCCAATCGGATCTAAGCGTAGCGAAGCGAAGCCTTTCTGCTTAAGGTCATCCGGTCATCCAAGAAGACTTACCAGATTTTTGCTGAAAAGAATCGTCACTTGATGTCACTTGATGTCACTTGATGATTTAGTTTGTATGCAAAATGTTGTAACTTGCCTTTTACCAGGAAAACAGTCTCTGGGACTCTGGGACTCTGGGACTCTGGGACTCTGGGACTCTGGGCAGGGTTATGATCGGACAATTCAAATGTTAAGCACAGAAATGAGATCGATAATTTTGATAGTGGTACCAACATCAACAGCATCTCCATGAATCATCACCAATGACAAAAGTTTGACAATATAACAATAGCAAGGAATGATGATAACAACAACAACAACAGCAGCAACAACAACAACAACAGCAGCAACAACAACAACAACAGCAACAACAACAACAACAATAATAATAGTAATAATCACCCTCCTCCTAGCCGCCATCTACAATGGTGTGGGACTGGAACGAACTCGCCAATACAGCAAGGAGCAAGATCATCTGCAAATGGAAGCCCGCTAAACAACACTCCATCATACATCATCATACATCATCATACTACATCACTAAACACGCGTCCTCTCAGCAGTTCAAAAGCTGTGCAGACCAGGCTCGTCCAGGCGGTCATCACCTCTTTTGGATTTCCGCTCCTTCCGTTCCTGCGCCCACGAATGTCACATCTTGGAATGCTCCCATCATAAACGTCAAACATCCCGCCGGGTTGGAAATGGGCCGAGTAAAAACAGCATTTTCATGTGACTGGCAAGAAGTCAATCATGCGTTTCGCAGTGTTTTTCCATGTTTCTATGTTGTCCATGAAGGTCAATTCTATTGTGATTTTGAATTTTCATTGGGATTTACTGTATATAGTTGACATGTCGGAGTGCGAAAAAGGTTCCTTTTGGGAAGTCAGCGTGCCCAAAACCTCAGCGGCAGCCATTTTTTCCGGTGATCTCTACATCTTCGCTAAGTACGCACCTGTTTTCTCCAACAGCGCTTTTCCAACTACATTTGCCTCCCATCGCCACTGCCATGTGCGAACGTACGTCCAAATGAGGTCATTCAATTTTTGTTCGTTTTCTGGGCAAGATGTCAACTGATCGGGAACACTGGCTTTGATCATACGCCAGCACGAGTCGATGGTGCCAGTATGAACCCAGAAGGTTTTTCCAGCATGTCTGCGGTGACAAATTGGTTTTTGCGATGTGAGCAGGCAAAATGTATCAGCTTGTTGGCCGATGTCAATCCAGGGTAGCACTTTGCGCCATCTGAGCAAACGTGCAAGTGAACGTGCCGTGGCGTAACATCATGGGAGTGCGCAAGTACGTGAACGTTATTATTGCCCCACCCCACCCCACCCCTGCGTGACGTGACACATCTTCAACGTAGCATGACGTATGTGCGCACGTGCAAGTGAACGTGCGGTGGCGTAACATCATGGGAGTGCGCAAGTACGTGAACGTTATTACCCCACCCCACCCCACCCCAAGGAACATATATAAAAATGCCTAAAACGCTCGGACGGTTTTCAACCCGTAGGCTCAAACATGCCCCAGCTCAGAACAGCCCCTTGGATGACTTCTGAAAATAAGCATTTGTTCTACCAGCATTTTGAGAAGAAAATAGTCTTCTGGGTCAGCACCTTCCACTTTCAAATCGTCAAGGCAGCATTTAACTTGATACTTCCAATGCGTACACTCGCCTTGCATGCATCTTTATACACTTCAACTTTATGAGGTATTCGTTTATCCCAGAATTGCTCTGATCACACGTGCCAGGAACCGCAATACGACCAGCTGAAGGTGTCTCTGTCCATCTCTGTCCTTTTTCAGGCTCTGCTTGGATCGCTCTGAACGGCCCGATGTGCCACTGCGGGCGCTGCGTGCTGTGTGGTAACTGCGACAGGTCGAGGGCTCCGGCGCATCGCTGTGGAGCTGGGAGACATGTAGATTCCCCAGCTGCAAGCGCAAAGCCTGGAGGTGATAAGCTTTGAAACATTTTGAAACATTTTGAAACATGTCAGAGCATGTCAAAGCATGTTTCAGTGGAGAGGAGGAGCCTAGCTGTCTTGATCCACACCTGTTTTGCTATCAACCAAAAACATTGGGAGAACATGTATAACATGTGTAGCAGTGATAGATTACGTAGATGATTGGCTTGGAAGAATTCCAAGACTCTTTTGTCTGGATCTGGACCAAAGGAAAATGGAAGGGAAAAGCAAGTTGACCATAGTTGACCACACTTTCCAGATGCCTCGTGATTCACGTGATCAGGGACTGTCAGGGACCCCAAAATAACTTAAATCCTTCATGTCAAAAATGTCAGCCGCCCGCCTGGAGCATGTCTGGACTCTTTGCATCAGCTTTCGCAAGTTGTGGCAAAAGCAAATATCTGTCAAGAACTGAGTGACGAGTTGCCAACTCATTTTCCCACTCCTTCACAGGGCTCTCCCAAGTGCTTACCTGCGGGACTAGCACGACATTAGAGCTAAATTTTGCAAAATAGTTGAAAAATCTGAACACTGAACACAGCTTCGATATGCAAAACATGGCAACCGCTAGGCTGATTTCGCATGGAGACGTTTGCCTCCGAATGTCCGAAAGGTTGGTGTTTTTGCTGCTTTTCTATGCTTTTCTTTGGTGCCTTGAGGTGATCGTTGTAATAGTACTCCCCCTGATCTGAGACATATGGTCCAGTCCATTGAGATAGATCTTCCTGCACGAGGCACTTCGGCCCAAATCTTGGGGCGCTGTGACCATGACAGTCACTCAGACATCAACACCTTTTACAACTGGGCAAAGTTTCGGGAAATTCAGCTGTTCTACAGTTCTACATCACAAAGGTTGCCATAGACATTGTTGATTAACGAAGCACCGACTGAAGAGTATTGTTTCCTGGAAGATGGTTGTGAGTTGTGAGATACTTAAGTAGATGTAAAATCACTAACTATAAAGCTAACTTCCATAACAACCTGACTTTTGCAAAACCTCAAAGCCTGGTGCTTTGCAAGCTGTCTGACCATGCAGCGCCTTTGCGAGCTCATGGGTTTCGCGTAAATGCTCTTGTACCAACCTGGCAGCGAGAGCAAACTCTCCAGATCCTTGATATTCCTTGATCCTTTTATTTGTTACACATTTCACAGCAATCTGACAAAGTGACGAAAAATCCAAGGGTCCTACAATACTGACAAGCTATGTTTTGGCCATGCCATGTATGGTTGCGTTCCAATTGTAGTCACTGGATTTCAGATTCAGATTGGGATTGCAGGATAAGAGGAAAACACTTTGCAGTAGGGACGATGCCTAGAGGAATTTAGTGGAATTCAGACAATTTACACGATTTACACGTCAAACATGGGGCCACTTTTCGGCTCACGTTGATCGGTGCCATTCGGTGCCCTTGGGTCGCCAGGAGACTCCTCCCGCGATTTGGCAGGCGAGGTGGAAGATGCTTGTCGAATGACACCGAGGAGTTCGCGATAGACTTGGTCCATTGGATGCTCCCAGGTGCTTGGCCGGCCCTCCTTCGCAGGTTTCAAGAACTGAAGAACGATGTGATGCAGTGATGCACAAGTCTTCTGGTTGTGTTCTGGTTCCACCTTAAGGCAACGATTCAAGCGATTCAAGCGATTCAGGTTAGACAGAACAAACAGTTCGACAGGAACAATCGCTTTCCTTGACATAGTAGGCCCGCCCTGACTCATCCATATACTCAGTCCACGAACCTAGGCTGACCAGGCTCATCTCTCATTTGTTCTCAGCTCATCCTCAAAGGCTAAAAGCAACAAGTTAAATTAGTTAGATTGTATGTGTACACATGATTACACCTGTACGATATGTACTGCTCTATATATATATATAATATATATATACCCTCTGGTAATTTAACATAGCTATGGAAAATCACCATTTTTAATGGGAAAATCCACTATTAATGGTCATTTTCAATAGCTACGTTAAATTACCAGAGGGTATATATATATATATATATGACTTCTTTGTATTTGTATGTGTCTGTTTGACTGACGAAAGCCTTGAGAGCAAGGAATGTATGGAACACTTCCAGCTAGCCTTGGCTTCATTTCGTAGGATTCTCCAGTTCCAATTTGGAAATCACACTGCCACGTGTTGAGCTAAGCAAGATCACGTTTGGCCACTCCCATGACATCACAATGCTACGAGTGACATGGCAGCGGCGCTTCGAAGGCTTCTTGCACCAGGGTCCTAGGAGCACAGGTATGGCATGCTGTATTGCATCATGTTTGCCTCATGCCTCGCCGGGAACCATATGGCCTCACCTACACTTTTGGGGCATGGTTCCCAGAAACGACATTCCCCCGCTCAACTCATGGCTTTGAAGAAGCATCTACAAATCCATTTAAATCCATCCAGATGTTAAAGTAGAACAGGGCAAATCGATGCAAATCGCGCAAATCCTGAGCCTTTGGATGGCAGACTGGGAAGACGCTTCGGCACGCCAAGATGCATGAGATGCTCTTCTTCTTCCAAATCCACTCCCAAACTCAAGCCATACCTCGAAGCAGATTTTGTGCTGCGCTCGTGCGCTGCTCTGGTGTGCTGTGACACATTGTGTTTTCTTGTGACTTGGTGAGCATCGAGTCTGACCTTGTCAGTTTCTCACGGCTCAAATTCTGGAGGATACTATGCTACACAAAACCTGCTGAGGCTTGTGGAGGCAATGACGGGATCTCAAACTGCTTGTGACTTATAGAACTGGATTGTGGCCTTGCCGTAACAACCCTTGAGCTGTGAAGGGATCGAAAAAGTGACTCAAAGTCTCAATTTAAGCATCGTTGAAGTATCTTTAGAGATGTCAGAATTTCAGAGTCTGAGTTGCTCATGCAGGTTCCCATACATCTCTGCAGTCTCTGCCGGTCCCAGAGCCGACGCCGACGCCGGAGACGCAGAAGCCGAGGCATGGGCACTGCCGTGGGCTGAGGCCGAGGCGCTCGCTGAGGGAGAGCCGGTGCCGCCGTCCATGGCGACTTCGAAACATGGGCCGCGTCGTCCTTAGACGTCCACGGCCGCGACGCGCGCGGCGCGGCTACCAGGCTCCAGGCCCAAAAAGGACAGCTGCGAGCAGAAAAATCAGACAGGACCCGAGACGCTCTCTTTTAGGACCGGCAAATTTGCATCTGTATTGATATACAATTATATAGTACAATAATGTACAATACATGTCACATGTGTATATGTATGTATTGTATATATATATATCACATATTCTAAGTACAGCTGAATCGAATCTTCCCGGTGTCTGCTTTGTTTTGCAGTGTACATCGTGCAGCACTTTGAGACTCTAAGAAAATTTGCCAGTAATCTATAAGACTTATAAGACTTGGCCACAAGGGCTCAATCCTCTCGGATGTTGTGTAGGAATAGGGTGTCATTCCCAGCAGATGAGGATGCAGGATTCAAGAGATGGTGTTGGTCCAAGCTATCCAGCTGTCCAGCGATCCAGCAATCCAGTCGAGGTGGAGGTTCTCTTGGTACATTGAAAGTTTGGTGCCCTCTTGAGTCACTTAAGTCACTTGAAAAACATTCACACTATATTAAAGTTCAACGCTTCAACATCTTCAATGCCTGAGATCACAGGGAAATCCCATGAGACTCCGCTCCTCTGTCTCGCCTGATCGATGCGAGACCTGCATGCTGTTGTCTCCGATAACAAATGCGGTGAGCTGCAACACCCAAAAATCAGGAAATTGCAATTCTTAGAGATTCACTTTTACTCGTCGCAGTTAGAAGAGATTCCCTCCCTTTGCATGTGAGTGCTTCGTCGCCCATAACTTTTTGAACCGTGTCCAGATTGAAACCATGTACGTCTCAGTCCCCCCTTCCAAAGCTAAAGTTTACATCATTCAGAAATAATTCACCGACTCTCTGCGCGCAATTCGTGGAAAGCTGATCACTCTCCACTTCAATATTTTGATCCAATCAATCTCTCACTTAACTCTTTGATCCAACATGTTTCGCGCTCCTAGATTGAAAATTTCGATCGTGATCACAAAACATGATAATGCTGGAATGACACGCCTCTGCAGTCGCAAGATCGCACGCGCCTCTCTTTTTGGACTGCAAATGGCATGGGGTCAAGCAGTCTGATAGTTTGGTCATAAATGCTTTGAACAAATGCTGTGAGCCAACAGGAAATGCGATGCCGGCCAGGCTAATGACTCAGACACAAAAGCATTGAATAGGTCAGAGCCAACTGGTGGCGATCACATGCCACAGCAAATGAAAACTGAGCAAATGAGGAAAATACCCCGCACAATGTCACACAATTGAGCTCAGTGAGTGATATCACTCGTGAGCAGTGGGCTGTGGAGAACTCCCAGCCCACCCTGATTATACAGGGATGGGCCGGGTGGGACAAAATGAAACAGGGTTCCTGGGATGATCAAATCCTCTTTGAGTCCAAAATGGCATCGAGCGGCCATCCTTGGTTTTCTGACCGCTCAAATCAAAAATGATGATCATCCACAATAACATGCTCAAATAAAGTCTCAAGTATATAGACCGTATTAATAAGATCATACGATCGCGGATATGGAGAAATATAAAACTAAGAGGAGGGTAGAGATCAAAATCTTGAAATGCACTGAAGAGTCCTTCACTTGTTCCAGACCCACCTTTCCGTTAACATGTAAACGACTCTCTGCGCGCAATTCGTGGAAAGCTGATCACTCTCCACTTCAATATTTTGATCCAATCAATCTCTCACTTAACTCTTTGATCCAACATGTTTCGCGCTCCTAGATTGAAAATTTCGATCGTGATCACAAAACATGATAATGCTGGAATGACACGCCTCTGCAGTCGCAAGATCGCACGCGCCTCTCTTTTTGGACTGCAAATGGCATGGGGTCAAGCAGTCTGATAGTTTGGTCATAAATGCTTTGAACAAATGCTGTGAGCCAACAGGAAATGCGATGCCGGCCAGGCTAATGACTCAGACACAAAAGCATTGAATAGGTCAGAGCCAACTGGTGGCGATCACATGCCACAGCAAATGAAAACTGAGCAAATGAGGAAAATACCCAGGCCCTCAAGAGCAGAAATTCAGCTCCTGTGGCCAAGTGGCTTTTACCGTAGACCATCCTGCTGCTTCCCCTATCCAGAGCTTATTTCTGGATGGCCAATCTGCTGGATTGGCATCGGTTGAAACACGGTCGATAAATATTCGAGCTTTTAATTTCAAAGCAAGATCCCAAAACAGAGCGATGATTTCACACATGTCAGACCGACTCGAGTATCCCTTGATCAGGGCAGCTTCGACCGATTCCGAATCAATGAAAAGGAAAATATCAGCGCCCACTAGCCGATCGGTGAATGTGGAGAGAGCTACTACGGGAGCCAACATCTCGATCGGCATGATTTGCGTAGCTCTCTTCAGCCACCGCTCCTTGATCTCGTCAGGGACGACCGTTGTGAACTGTCTGGGCTGTTTCAAGCGCCGCTCAAAGATGACTCCACCAATCCGATCTGGACTCACGTCACTCGATCGAGGATCAGGCGTGAAGCCATCGGTAAAGATCACCGCATCGGGGAGTCTCTCCTGAGCCAGGTCGATCTGCCTTGGCGGCCCAGCATGAACCAGCTTCTTCCACTGCTTCAGGGACTCTGTGAGTGGGACGTCGAGCTTGAACTCAGTGCTCGAAGGGAACTTCCAGTACTGACGTTCTGAAATAGGGCGCAAGAAAGCACTCCCAACCTTCCCCCAGAGCTGCGACGCACCAAACATGAGCTTGCCTTTGAGCTTTCCTGCCGACCCAGGGTCGAGCAATCCGACATGCAAGATGGACTCAATCTCCTCGAGCAGATCTTTCTTTCGATCAGCTTTGATCTCAAGTTGCATATCCCGCAGGTTGTACGTCACACCCAAGATCGTTGGCTCAGAGGACAACTGCAGTTTCTTCTGATCAAATTTTGCACCAAGCCACCAGTGCACTTTTTCCGCCACATTGCGAGCGCCTGGGGCCGAGGCAGCAGGTTCAAACCCGTACTTGTCGTCATAGAAGCTGAACGCAACCAGCTTGAACAAGGACACCAAAATTTCGTTGATCGCCGCTGAACGCCTGTTGTAGTTATACACAGCAGAAACCAAACCAAAAGAGTGGCCGACCATGATGAAGAACGCAGGTCTCCCCGAGCTGGGCGACTTCAGACAAATGACCAAAAACTTTCGTTGATCCGGTTGTATAGCCACTTGTCTGTATGCCTTGCGCTCGTCGAGCACCCAACCTACGAGCTCTTTGTCCGAGGCTAAGGTCTTGAGCTTCCTGATCGCCGCAACATTCGCGTCCGTCGACGGCAGTTGGAGCTTCTCTTTGATCTCAGTGATTTGGTTGATCAAGTTCGTGGTCGCGCTGTCGCAACCTCGCACCTTGTTCTTTTGAACCACTTCGAAGCGCTGAGTTGGGATCCAATCATCTTGGCCGAGAGCGTCGGTAACCTCCTCTGGGCTAGCAAAGGGGCCCAGACATGAGCCTTCTTGAACATCTTCGAGTGTAGCTTCCCAGATCTTCACCAAATTGTCAGACACAGGAACGCCACGAACTCGTTGAATGATCTTTGCCCGGATCTCCCAGGCCCTAGAGAGCGCGTGGTCGATCGACAACACTTTCTGGGGCTTCTCATAAGGCGGCCAGCGCCCAGATGGCGCAATGGGACCGACGATGGGGGAAACCGACCAGCAAAAATTTTGGCAGAGTCTGGTCCACAGAGTTTGCAGCCGCCAACATCTCCTCGTAGAGAGCTATATGACAAACATCACCAAGGCGAGCGCGTGCAGGGTCATCAGTGCCGAGCAGCAGGCGGCGCTGGGCCGCGTCCGGCTGAGCCATGATCCTTGCAATAGATTCAGGGAGCAGGGCTTCAGCACGGTGTTGCCAGAACTGAAGAGCTTGAGCACGATGACGCAACACCTCACTTGGGTTTGTCGCCACTGCATGGATGGCGGCGTCGAGCGCAGGGGGCAAAACTGCCGAGCGCGAGAAAGGATGAACTTGCTGAAGAGCAAACAGGACTGCTGCCCCCGGTTCCATCTCCACCTCGCGCAGCGGTTTCGCAGCACCACGTTTGAGCTGGTACCCGGCGAGGAGTGCCTTCTGAGCAGTGTCTGCTTGTTTGTGCTCTTTCCACGGCCTCGCCGAATGCAGAGCGCGCTTCCTGTCGGCTGCTGGAACACACAGCTCGAAGGTGAGCTTCAGGTGAGGCAACTCCTGCAAGAAGATGGACCGCACCTGGTCTGCAATTGTAGCGCACAGAGCAAGGGGGTACACTTGAGCCTGCTTGGTCTTGAACACCATGCGTTGTAGTGATGGGTCCCACACTTTGCCCTTGAGCGACTCATGAGTATGCCCGCCCGGACAACGTACACAAAGAACGTCGAGCTGCTCGTTAGAGCAGACGAATCGTGTCGGCTTCATCCACGGCGTGCCAAAAACGCACTGATCACATTCCAGGTTGAAGGTGCGAGCGCTTCGCACGAGCTGGAGCAACTGGGGCGTCTGCCACAAGAGGCTCAGGAGCGGGTTCTCAATGAGGAAGTCACCACCAAATGCGAATACCAGGCTGCAGGCTTCTACTGTGCGATCCAAAAACACATTGCCCAAAAAGACCAGGCCGCTGTCTTGCTCCGACAGCCCTTCCAGACCGAGCGGTTCTTGGGGTGACCTCAAAGGAGGAGGTCCCCCATCAGCTTTTCGTGCAGCAGTGAACGTATTGCACGGGGTGCCGCAATGCAGAAAGAAAACCACACCCAGAACAAGAATATCCACCAAACTCTGCCAAAAAGTTGCATCCACCAAGTCGACCGGGGTGCGCACCAGGTCGGACGCCACAATGTCCACTGGAGGAAGGACTGGAACACCTGCCAAAAACACGGCTTCAGTGATCCCTGCCTTCCCTGCAAAGAGCTCGAGGAAAAATGGTCCAGCGGAGAAAAGCCAGTGTCGATCGTTGAGCACCTGGCTCCAGTGCGGGATCGCAGTCTGAGCTCCTAGCTCCACTTTCCGAACAAGAGGCGGCTGTACCGACTCTGGAGCATCATTCGTGGAGGCAGGCTCGCCTGTCCACACCCCAGGGGGCGGCGAGAGGCCATCCTGGGGCGGTGGTTGCAGAGCTCAATGGTTGCCGTGCCAAGGGTGGTCCTTTCCACACTCGGCACAGCTATGCTTGAGCTTACATTGATCTCCAAAGCGGCAACCCAACGAGCTGTTGTAGAAGGGGCATCTGCGACTACCGCTGTACTTGAATGCAGTGATAGTCTGCCACTCCTTTGCCGGCACGCGCTCATCTCGCGCGGCCTTGCGCGGAGTGTCCTTCTCTTTGTTGCCGGCGTTGCTGAGCACTGCCTTGGCCTTCTGGAGCTGGGCCTTTTGCCGCGTGCGGCGAGCCTTGTTCTTGCGAGCTTTGGCCGACGACAAAGGCGGCTCTGGTGAGGTAGAGCGTGCCCTCTTCTTAGGAGTCACTGGGGCAGCCGTGAGCGCGGCCTGCTTGTATTTGTCAAGCTCTGCGCTGGAGCGAGCATCGTTCCAGAGCTGTTTGTGGTTTGTGAGCACCTCCAAAAAGGCCGCCGAGAACGTAGTGAACTGTTTGCGGTGATCTGAGCTCACTCGATGCACCTTCTTGCGGATGAGCGTGTCCACGGTGAGGAGCAAGGCGAGCCCGCGGTTCTCGTGACGCCACTCCTCGAGCTGAGCCAGGTACTTGAGCGGTCCCGCGGCCACAGAGAACTCACAAATGTTGAGGTACTCCAAGGTGATGAAGAACGCGTGCAACTTGTCCATGACCTGGGATTCTGAGCTGGCTGCCGAGGGCTGATCAATGGTGACTACCCGCAGCAAATCCTCGGCATTCTTGGACAAGCCCGCCTTCTGAGCGATCTGCTCGTTGCGGGTGCGGATCTCCCCCACCTCATAGAAATGAACGAATCCGTGAACCAAATAATCTCTCTGGACTCGCTCGACGAACTTGCGGTGGGGCTCCCGATGTAATGGAAGGAGCACGTCAGGGTGCCTGGAGACGAACGTCTCTCTGAATTCCGCATGGTCTTCGCCCGGAATTTCGGGAACCTTGGAAGGGTCCTCTTCCATCTTTGCGCGACGAGCCGCGAAATGGTCTTGCATCGTGCTGCAAGTCTTCCAAACGGCTGCCAGGCAGGTCAGAGCAAGCTCTTGAGCCGGGCCATCGGCTCCCAGAGCTGTGAGATCAGGCACCAAGTTCTTGAGCGTCGCCTTGACCGAGGCAATATCGTCGCCGAGCATGGCGAAGGTTTCCACCGTGAGCAAGCCAGAGTTTGCTGCGAGCTTGCACAGGTCCTCATTGACTCGCTGCCGCCCAAAAACTTGACGGAGCGGAAGATCAGGAGTCTTGTCCGCAGCATACACCGTGCGATCCACCATGGTCACTGGATGCGGGAGGTGAACAGAGGGCTATGAGCTGAAAAATTATGATCAAAGAAAAACAAACAAACGAAATACACATGAGCCATGACCTGAGCAGGAAGGAGGCAGAACCGACTTAGCGAGCTCACGCCAACACTTCTTGCAGTCAAGCATCCTATTGTTGGCGATTGTAGGCCTCTGCTGCTTCCGGACGAGCGCGTGAGCAATGTTTGCACAACACTGAGAGATCCGGAAGGTAGGAGCCCACGTTCGTGCAATCCTCAAGGGAGATCCTACCGCAAGCAGACTTGTCAGCATCATCAGGAGCACTGCAATGATAGCGGTAGTCATAAGAAGCCGCAGAGCCCGAGGACTTCACGAAGAACTGGATCTGGTCGAACGAGCAGGGGTCCTCACTGTCAAGCTGCACCTCATCGGACTCCTCGATTGGGTGTTGCTGCACGAGCATGTCCTTGACCAGCTGCTGGACCATCTTGGCAGGGATGGCCGAGCGGTTGCGCGTGTACTTCAGGACGAGCGGCCCTGGATTTTTCCAGTTCGCTTGGAGCCCGATCTCTTCAGTACTTCTGCCCGCGTGAACCGCTGCATCTAGCATGGTCACTCGCGCTGAGTGAGCTGTAAGCTCGTTGACCACATTGGCGAGCGACTTGAACTCATGGTCCTCCCCTTTGTGGTAGTGATTGAGAGCGTATCGACCTAGGAACCTCAGCCACTGCACTGAGCGTTGATAGGCTGCTGGACCATCGCGAAAAGCCTCTCTGGAGTTCAGATCGCGCATCCAGTAGTCTCTGGCCAGAGCGAAATGTTCTGCTTGGAGCAAGTCCCAACCAGTTCTGAGCCAATCTGAGCCAGAAAAGCCCACATGAGGCACGACAAACTTGGTGCCACGCCTCTTGCGCTCGACCTTGGTCTGCCAGGCCACGCCGAACATGCCCTCTTCATTCATGACCAGCTCATCGGGGCGCACGTGCATGGCGTCGTCATAGCGGAGCGACGCAAACACCATGCACAACCACCACCATGTGAACAGGCGGCTGGCCTCCGGCTCTTGCTCGTCCACCACAAAGAGCTCCATTGCCCGCACGACCTGGGTGGGAATGGGCACGGCTTCTTTCAGAGTGCGAGCACGCTTGCCGATCACCTCCGCTTGCAGAGCCAAGAGCCCTTGATGATCCACGTCAGGGCATTCAATAGCTAGCTTAGATGTTACCCATTTAACGGAGGTTCTAAAAGAAGGTATCACTGAGGGGCCGCATTCTTTAGAATCTAAAAACAGAGCATATTGAATGAGCTTAGCACTAGTCAAAGGAAAAACTTCGATCTGCCTCGCTTCAGCCCATTCTGCGAACCTCTCCCAGTTGGACACGTGGGTGGCCATGGTCCTTGGAGCGCCAGAAGAGAGCACGAGCTGGCGCAGTCTAGCCACTTCCGCATGTGACAGCCCACTCTCGTTGGCCGTGTCAAGAAGGAGCTTCGAAAATGTGCCAGCCTTGCGTCCAATCTCTTCCAGGCGAGCCGCCCACTTCCACCGAGCTGCGTTCTCTTGATCCAGCAGTGGTGTAGCTGACGTCTCCTCGGCCCCCTTCTTTAAGAACTTCCTCGGAGGGTTCACTGGCCTCCCACCAAGAGCGTTGATCGCCCCCACTCTTCGAGCTCTGGCTGTCGCTGAGCTGATAGGTGCAGTGGGAGATTCACAAAGCCCAAACCCCAGCTGAAATGCCGTGGATTCGAAGAACGCCCTTTCAACTGAACACGCCAGGGACCAAAACTGTTCCAGCATGAAAGTTGAATGGAGCAAATCACCTCTGATCCTAGCATCCAAATGAGGGGCCCATTCTGTGACCTGGGCAACAAACTCGTGAGCTGTCTTGACCTCCATGGCAGCCACAAAGGCCAGGTTGGCGAAGGGAGACCCCTGAACAGCCTTGGCGAACGAATCATCGAACACCGGCAAGGACAGGATTCTGCTAGCCCATCTGTCATTGTGCTGAGCCATGATTTGCTGCTGAACATTCAGCTGGCACTTGGCTGCGCTGATCAGAGCAAAGAAAACAGGCAAGAGAAAAATTCACAACTTGAAATGAATCCATTGTGATCAACCCTGCATTAGAAACTCGATCATAAGAACAATGACCCAAAGTGGGGGGGCAACCGGCAGAACCGGATGACCATGCAAACAACTGCATTGATCCCCTCGCAGCTCTAGACCGCTCAGGCCCCACCACCCGTCACCGCTGGGTTCCCAACCTCAACAGCCAGGGTTGACCGGCCGCATCAGCTAGGTCCGAGCAGATGTAACATTGAATGGGTACCATCTCATGATCAAAACAAAACAGAGTTGCAGAGACAAACGACCAACACCAGTCATGGCCGACCGTTCGACTCATGCGCACTCTGGGATCCCTCAACAAGAACTTGCTGAGGACGGCGCCTGAGCAGGCGAGAGCCGAAAGGCATCAAGCCACTTCCCAAGCTGAACGTGTCATGCACTTGAACAACATGTGTGCTTGAACGTTCATAAAACTGAAATAATAAAAACCCTTTGTGTAATCAATGAATATACCAAAACCTACTACCCCGAGCTCCCCAGAGAAAAACAAGTGTAAGAACCTCAAAACGAACAACCGAGAAAACAAACGATCATGCCGAAACGGATGACGACCCAAATGAGTCAGTCGCTCCGTCTCACGCCGATCTGAGATTCCACAACCCTCTGAGGAGCTCGCCTGAGCAGGTTCGAAAATCAAAATGGAAAAAGGCAGTCCGGGTGACAAATAAAAGGGGGGAAAAAAGAGGAGCCTTACCGCAATCCAAGAGTGATCAACTCTGCACGGCATGAACAGCTCTCTTGTCCTGACACCATTTTTCCATCGTTGCGGCCTGGAGTCAGGCAAGTATTGGCTACCGAGCGATTACGCCTCTCTCTGCTGAAAAGGTCTGAGCAAAACAAATCTGATCTTAGATCAAAAATTAGTCTACACGTCGTCCGCCTCCTCAATGATCGGGGATGGACCATATGAGCGAGGGATCGACGCTGTGGAGCCACCCCCAGTCTTGAAGCCTTTGATCGCATTCTCCACAGAGGACACGAAGGCCTGGGGCGTCACCGCCGCATCTGCGAGCGATTCCGCTTGGCGCACTTCCAAAGAACGCCTCTGCCGGAGCCGCTTGTGGAGCCACCCCAGCCTCCGTTACCGAGATGGTCGCCTCGATAGGAGGGGCTGCTTGAACGGGCGCCACTGCGGGGCCCATCAATGCCTGCAATGGAGCAGCTGAGGACTTAGGAATCGCCGATGGGCCTCCCAGCACCGGTGGCACGACGATCGTCTCTTGCTCCTGTTCAGGGTCGTGGTACTGAAGAGCAATGGACTCCTTTGGCACGATCACCATGGGCAGCTTGAACAATGGGGACTCGCAAGTCAGGTGGAGGTTGGTGTGGTGTGTATCCACCGCCACTGCCCCGACCCGAGGCCCCGTTTCCGCGAGCGACAACGCTTCTGTAGCAGCCGTCCAATGAGCGTGGATGCCAGCCAGTTGGGACATCTGCATTGTCTGATCAGGCCCTTCGACACGAGCATTGCGTTCACGACACCACCTGGCATTCTGGATGAGAGTCGGTCCAGACACTCGAGAGAGCGTCAACCAGGTGGCCGGCACGTTCAACTGAGAACACGCCACGTCGAGCTTGTCTCCAGCCGACCTGAACCTGAACTCCAGGCGATCTGCGTCCACTCCGATCGAGTCCGCTGATGACAAAGCAGTCATTCGAACCTCGAAGTGGCACAACGGGTAGTCGACAGCCACGACCACCCCGCTGTTTGAGCAAACATAGAGGCGGCCTCCCACTTCAAAGCTGACCGCCACCACTCTCCAGCCAGAGAAGATGGTCACCACGACCGCCGGCACGAACAGCACCTCCTTCAACGATGGGATGAGCCCGTCATTGATGTAGTTGAGCTGGACTGTCATGTCCTGATCGGACCTGTAGCCCCTGAGCTCAAGGTGGAGCAGGAGCTGCCCTTCGATCTTCATCTTCACATCCACCCAGATCGAGGAATCATCCCGCATGAGTGGCCACCTGAACGGTTGGAAGGCAGGATGCGCCATCACCGATCCAGTAACTGAGTCCCACTGAGCACAAGGGACACTGCCGTAGCTCGTCATGCTACCCACGATGATGAGCTTGTACCCATCCATGGCCCGAACGTAGAAGATGTTCATGTGGTAGCCAGTGTTGGGCGATCGCAACTGCAACCGGTCCGATAGAATGTTTACCCCAGACTGAGCGTTCAGGAGGATTTCATCCAGCAACCAACCTTGGAACGGGCTGGTGATCCTCTTGTCTCGATTGTCCACAATGAGCACTGATCTCTCGCCCTGAGCTGATCCCAACTGTTGAATGAACGGGGGCAGCTGGAAGTTCTGCGGGCTAAGAGCATTGGCCCCGTGCATCTGTCCCCAGCGCACGAACTTGTGCCCACGAGCCTTCGCCCGGGCTTTCTGCTTAGCCAGCTTGGCCGACTGCTGGTGGATTTGACCTCCCACCAAGTTCTTCGCCGCTTGTGTGGCTGGAGCCAGCCCTGCACCTTGAGGAAACTGAGCAGGCCCTTGAGCAGGCAGGTTGTGGCCTGCTGGATCTGCAAACGTGAAATCAGGTGGGGGAGCTGGATCAGAGTCAGTCTCCGCATCCCACACAGTTGAAACTCCAGCATCTTGTGAACGCAGTCCCGGTGGAGGTGCACTTGACGCAGGAGCTTGCTGAGCAGGGCATTCGCTCCATGATCCCACTGACACGCCACTCACCGAATCTTCAGGACGCATAGACTCGGCAGCGCGACGAGCAGCCATGGCATGTTGCTGAGCCAATGGAGATGGGAACGACTGGGGAGCGTTAGACATCTTCAGGATTGATCACTCCCAGGCCCTAAAATTGATCTACCGCCAAGCGCAACGAAGGCAGAGCACAAAATGAAACAGGGTTCCTGGGATGATCAAATCCTCTTTGAGTCCAAAATGGCATCGAGCGGCCATCCTTGGTTTTCTGACCGCTCAAATCAAAAATGATGATCATCCACAATAACATGCTCAAATAAAGTCTCAAGTATATAGACCGTATTAATAAGATCATACGATCGCGGATATGGAGAAATATAAAACTAAGAGGAGGGTAGAGATCAAAATCTTGAAATGCACTGAAGAGTCCTTCACTTGTTCCAGACCCACCTTTCCGTTAACATGTAAACCTCCTAGCATCTTCTAACATCTTCTAGCTTCCCAGATCTTCCCAGATCTTCCCAAAGACTTCAAGTGGGAATTGATCGAAATGTCCGCTCTGTCACACTCTGAGGATGTGGCCATCACACCCCAGCCGGCGGACATGGAGATGTTCGCCGCCTCAATGGCCTGTTCCATCTCAGCGTAATGATGTTCATCTGCTTCAAACATTTCAGTTTCATGAATTTAAGAATGTATAGTATGTACATAATATAGATAATACATAAATTTTGTGATTTTCATGCCAAACTCACCTACTTTCCTCCAGTTGCAAATGTGTTCGCAACTGGCCAATTCCAAAAAAAATGAAAAAGCTACTCAAGTGTTGCACTTCCACGCTTATGCATCAAGTGCCAACAAGCACTGCTCAAGATTCGTCCTTTTGCCAATGGGGTGGCAACAGTAAGACCCTTCGACCCCCAGCCTCTGTGACGGAACCAATCTGGTTCACCTCCAAGTTGGACGCTAGCATTACCACGTTTTGATCGTTTTGCTTTGGCAAAAAACAATCCAAATTATCCTAAAGCAATGTAACCTATATGATCCTATATGTATATCTATAATTATCATTAATTATCTATATACATTATTCATCTAGATCCAGCATGCTGACTCCTTTGCCGCCCGTGTTCAGGCCTTTAGCAACAACGCGTTGCAAGCTTTGCAGTCCAGTGCTTTTCGCACCCTTGTAGGATTTGTGACCTGCCGTTCTCTTTCACTAGCACAGTCCCAACATCGTGAAAGTTGCATGATGAGAATCACACATCTTTCAGATCTCTCAGACTCAGAATCTCTGACAGGTGCACTAGTAGGTCATCGCCGACAATCTGAACTTGATCGCCAACAGCTGCATTGAACCTTGGATGGGAGTTGTGTCTTTTCCTGCTGCCAAACCATCGAGTCAGTCAATCCTGGTGAGTTGTGCATTTAATATGAGCCTTTTGGAAGTTGCAATGTATGAAATGTATGAAATGTATGTCTCTGCCTGGTAAATAGCCCTCTCATGGCCCTCTTACTCAAAGTTTTAGTCTGTCGAAGAACTTGGAATATGCTTCCCAGTCATCTTGGTCGAAAGGGTCCTGGTCGCTCGAGGACACCAATACTGACACACACTGGCACACATGCTGAAACTCCCAACACTCAAGCAACAAGTCATAGCAAGAGATTGGTCGCATCAAAGATCAAACAATGCCTGTAGAATCAGCATCCAGACAATTCAAACAATACGGGAGTCACCCATACACAAACACAATTCCAAGCACAAACACACTGTCAAATCATCACTAGACAGGCATCGCCTTTTGTCTTATGTTTGATCCAAATGATTGAAAGGACATCCATTTGTTAGATATGTGCAGCAAAGGATGGAGCATTGATGGATTGCTCAAAGCAGTTTCAGTGGGTGAGTCCTCGATGGACACGAAGGGATAGGAAGAAAACCATGCCTTGCTTCGCACCAAATAACTTTTCGGAGGACTGTGAGTTTTTGCAGTGGCTTTTCAGTCTTATTTTCCCATTGAAACCCATCAGAATCATTGAGTTAATCAGAAGAAGTATGCCAATTGTCCATGCTTTACTCTGGTCTTGGCGGTGGGATATGTCCCCTGCCCCATCTTGCCTCTTGCAAGGCAAGTTGAGACTTGACTTCTACAAGCTGTGCAAGCCCCATTCTGCCGAAATTGATCACCCACAGGCTGTGCGGTTCTTCAAACGACTACAGCCAGCGTGAAAAGTACGCACTACTTGAAGTGGCCACAAGCTCTTGGACACAACGCTTCACCGCGCCTTGTAGTATTCAATCATCTCCTGGGACAGGGCAAAGACATGTGGCATGTCAAGAACACGTCTCCGTTGAGGCAAACAGTTGGGCAACATGGAATCACCTGTTGTTGCAATAGTTTTCCATGGTCTTAATGGTCTTTGTCTCCCCGTGCAATAGAGAAGCTCTCTGCGCAGGAGAAATTATCTACTCCACAGATCACTTCACCGTGTTCAAGTAAAAACACGTAAAAACTATGTACTGGATGCAGCTTAGGGAAGACCCTATCACTTGCTGGAATTGCGCCTCGGCAGTTTTTTGCATTTCCGCACTGCTTCCACTCTCCTTTGCTGATCTTGAAGTCAAAACCCCCAGTGCACACAACCCATGTTCTTTTGATGCTAAACGCCGCCCCATGGTTGCAAGAGCTTCTGTGGGCAAGAGCATGCTATCACTTACTAAAGCATCCGAAGGCTAAACCAAGCATTTTTCATCATCTACATTCTTCTGGCACAGCTGATTGAGGAATAAAAAGCCATCGACATATGCAGACAGTGATCTTTTAAGGCACTTGAACCCATCATGTTGTCACATGTGTATCTATCTATCTATCTATATCTCTATGTACGTACAGACAATTATATTATATATACATATACATATATTCTTGAAAGATCTTGAAAGTACTTGAGGATTGGAAACCGGTTCCAACAACATGAAACTCGTTCTTAATGTCAGGGCCGCGAGTCGTTCTTAAAGTCCAAGTCGTATTTCTTCTGCTCAGGCCTCCCAGAAGAATCCAAATCCGGTATTTCTCTGGGCAGAAATAGATAACAAAAGGGGAACTGAATACAGCTGGTCATGGAGTACTGCAAATAGTTCTGCCGATAGTTGAACAAGAACCATCTGATGTTAAGTGTGTATATTATTATATATATATTATATATATATATTGCATTGTTGTATGCATTGTTGTAAGTATTTGTGATTTGTGTACAAACTTGCATTTCTTTGTGACACCCAAATTTCCAAGCACCTCCAGAATTCAGAGGCGGCCACGTCGGTTCCGATCTTCACCTTTCCTTCGTGACCCGACTTTTTGATGGCCTGGGTAGAATCAACATCTTTCAGTGTCCCAAAAACATTTCAAACAATGTAACAATGGTAAGAAAAAAGAGGCTAAATCGATGGTATTACCATAATTACAATCGTAGTTTTTCACAGATACCATGAAGCAAACAGCAACTCACGGCGTTTCCTCACGCCTCCATAAGCACATTTAGAGCTTCGTTGTTGTCTTGGACGTTGGGTGCGAAGCCCTTAGCAGTGGAAGTGGAACCTTCAAGGCACTCAACAGGTGCTATGGGACGAGATGAGCCTGGAAGTGATCACTGTGCTAGGGTCCCAGCTCCTTCGTCTCCCACATTGCAAGCATCCTGGAATGGAAGGAGACACTAACAGCCTTTTCTATATAAGGATCTTTGGGCGTCAAGTTGTTGCAGAATCAAATATGCATCTCCTCAGGCAGAAGTCAAATCTTTCAGAAATGCTGTCAAGAAATATGTCTTAGGCGGCGTTAGAGATTGCAACATCCTAAATCACTACAACCGGCATCACCAGCATACCGCAACATATCGCAACATACCCAGTCTCCTGGCCGTACTTCTTCTTGATGACGCTCTTGAGATTATGGTATACTTCAGCACCTTGGCGAACAGCACCTCTGAGAATCACCTGTAAAAGCACTACCAGAACCTGGTATGAATATGGCTAGCCTAGTAACTACAGTAACTAAGGCCCAGTTGCACACCCCATATGACTTCAGGTCCCCGATCAAGACATGGAAACCGACGCGTCGCTTCACGTAACACGTTGAATCATCTTCAGAGGCTCTGGACCAAGGCACCAATCTCCATGGCATTTCTGAAGGATGTTGCGCCTGCAGATAATCTTCACATCAAGTTGTCAGGAGGATTTTGGAATTCGATTTGTTTCATATTTGGTCGTATCTGCATCATGTATGTGACTTCCGTTTATACTGTGAATCATCAAATAATCGTCCGCATCCTGAAAGATGCTGCTTCAGACTGATGACAACCCACATTGCAATTCTGCGTTCGAAGCCAACAGACTTTGTGATCTGCTGCAGTGCCTGTTGGAAGGATCATAAACTCTTGGCATGCCAATCCTCAGAATCCAAAGATATCCAAACACATTCAACACTGTCTGCAGATGTCTGCAAATGTCTGCAGCTTCCAAGTTTCCAATGAAGGAAGCTTGTGCAAAGGCTCAAGCGAATCAGCCAAGGCTCTGTTTCCTGCATGGCTTCCGCCATTGATGACGTTGAAGGAAGGAACCTCAGTGAATTGGTAACTCCTGCAGACTCGTGCACCACACCCACAAGAGACGCTTTGACGTGTCAGTTTGCCTCCCTTTCGCAAGCTTCAACAAAAGCATGGAGAGCATTTCTGAACTACAATTCAAGACTACGTTGTACATGCTGTACTAACTAGGGAACAACTCGGAGATTTCCCAGTACGTTGAATCAGCCAAGGTCAAGATTGAATCCGGACTCATTTCCGTTTCTTTCGGAAGAAAATGGATACCGGAACTAAGGAAGTCTAAATCACTTTAGGCAGCAAAGCACTTCTATGCATGGCATCGCATGGCTGTTTATGGCTAAGGAAGGTGCTGGCATGACAAACTTGTCTGTTGGCTTGCCCGCCAGCTTGGCGATATACCTAAGAGTTCTGGGAGACTGGGAAACACGTTGAGTCTCCGATCGAGAAAGAAAAAGCTTCAACGGTTCCATCCGTGACTCAGTCGACTCGGCAAGTGGCTGGTAGAGTGGCACCTCCTCAGCTGCTGCACCTGCACGGCAAATAGCCATGGACACCTCGACACGATTCGACACGGCATGCCATGGGCCATGATGGGCCATGGGGCCATGGGGCCATGGGCATTGACCTTTGATGTTGCTGTTTTCTGCACTGCCAATTTGGTGTCCAAAACACTTCAAAACCCAGCGGGCAATAAAATCCCCCGTGAACCAAGTAGTATAATTGAATCCATGTCAATTGTAATCGACCGTGTCATGTCATGTCTATATTTGCCAGGTTGGTGCCAGGTTGCTGCAAGGATTGCATTGGCACCTAGCTTGGATTTTGACCAGCCCCATTCCTTGGTAATCAGATTGTGCGGCAAAGTGATGTTTGAGTCTCTTGTCTTTAAATGTCTTTAAATCTAATCATTCTAATTTCTAATCATTCTTCAAAAAGCTCTTCGCGGCAAAAGACCAAGGCTCATCGTCTGAGAAGAACTTCTTGAATTTTTCTGACATATGATGACAATGCCACTCCACAGGTCACCGATCCAAAGCACACTAGGTCTAGGTGTCTAGGTGACCCAACAGTTCCACGAAGAGCAGGAATAATTTCACTGGGGGAACTGCGTTTGACAGTGTTGTATCTCACAGGTCGGAAGCGCTACATCATGGACTTCGTTGAGGTGTTCGGTGCGCTGAGTTGCATGGCCATGACTTGCGATTTTTTCTCGTGTGCTGTCGATTTCATTTTATCATTTTATTGCTTGTTATTGTGTTGTTTTCGACACTACCAATATCAACAGTGACCTGAGTGCAAGGTTCCAATTGTGCAACATGCACTAAACTCTGTGAATTTGTTTGGATCAAAGCCGAGGTTCATTTTTGGAGCCATCCAACTGTTCCACCATGAGCTTGTCGATTCCTGCCTTGCACCATGCAGACTAGACATTGGTAAGTCTCTGCAAACATTGTGTTCAAAAAACGATCACAAACGTGGACTCAATCTGAATCATCTCTGACAATTCGAATGGATAATGTGGCAGATAACGTGGTTCGCGCCACTTCGACCAAACAGGTACTGATGTAGAATGTAGAAAGTTATACATCTGTTTCGGGCCTGGTCAGTGACCTTCATGCCAACAAGCTTTGGTGCAATGACGTCGTTGATGTTGGCAACGGCCTTCAAAACGCCTCACTGATGGGACGCAGATTCAACTTCAAGCGCGAAACGGCCCGAGACCCTCCAAGACCCACGCCTTTGCCCAACAAGCGCTTCTTGTCATCATCACGCAGCTCTAAAGCCTGAATCAGGAACAAAGCAGTCTGTGCAAAAAAGTCAGTAAGCATCCTCCTTCTCCCCAAGTTGCTGAGATGCGACTGTGGGCCACGGGAAATTTGCAATGAAGTCAAATTGAAATCTCAAGGCACTTTGATTTCAACATACAAAGCATTTTGCTTCTCAGTTCAGAGACAAAGTGTAGAAAATGTACAAGCTGTACGTGTGTCAACCTCTCGCGCCAACTCAGCGAAGCTGGCCTCGTAGATTCCAGTGGAAGCACCGCTTGGCACAGCGGCACGGAAGAGGCAGTTGTCTGTGCAGAGATCTACCTGGTAAGCCGGACACTTAGAACATCTGAGAACATCTGAGAACACCCTCCACAAGTCTCCACAAGCCTCACTTTGTGTAGTGAGGTTGGCTGAAAGCTGGACATGCTGGACTTCTCCACAAGTGGAAATTATGGAGGCCTTTCAATGACATCTTTTCACCTTCGAGCCTCCACAGTAGGATTTCCTCGTGAATCGAAGATCTCTCGAGCTTTCAGCATTACAATCCTGCGACAAACAATTGTTTGGGCTCACTGTGGGTCATCAGGTTTCCACAAGGTTGTTCCACAAAAGACTTGACAAAACCTGGTCAAGAAGTCGCTTGCATTGAAGGGCCACTTGAAACTGCTCGAACCCAAAACCAAAGCTGCAGAAGGCTTCGCAATGCTGTTGCTATCGCGTTCTCGTACGTAGGCGATCCAAGGTGAAGGGAGATTCAGAACCGAAAGATTTAGAATGCATTGGACGAGAGTGAGATTGACTTTTGCATATCACGTCTCCTGTCACCCACAGCAGAAGGCGGCGACAACATGGCGGACATCAGCTTCCTCAGCACGCATTTCATCTCATCCCCTACCAGCTACCAGGCCTTGCCAATAGATGAAGTCCGTTGCAATCCTTTTGAGTCCTTTTGCATTTGTTTGTCATATACATCGTGCGTGTCGTGTGGATTCGTGTCGGTCCGTCGTGCTTGGGAGGGCATGCTGGGCTGTTCGAAGACAAGTCGCTGTGTTGGCTTTTGGAATCCGGTGGCATCTCCACCACCTGGCCCCATCTTGGTGCCAGGGGTACACGGACTATCAGAGAAGGTTAAAGAAAAATAGAACAACTTGGCCACCTCTTCCAGGGCCTCTAGAGCCCTACAAGTCCCAACTTTAAACCTGGACGATTAGTTTCAGATATCACAAAACTCGTGTCTCTTTCAAAACATGAAATCTTCAAGCTTCCACACAGCCAGATTCAAGTCTAACGCCGGCGTCCGCCTGCTCTTGCTTGGGAGAGATACTTTCGAACCTTCACGCCCAAGACCTTTCCAAGCTCAACGCCCCACTGATCAAAGCTGTTCACGTTCCAAACCTTGGAGCTGGTAGAGCCACATGAACTCCATGAATTCGATGAACTTCAGAACGCATAGAATGAACGAATGAACTGTGGCACTTTATGATAGAACATATAGAACACTTCCTAGAAAAATCAAAGCCTCTGGCAGCTACTATGATGACTGGAGCGAATCTGCGTCGAAGCTATGGTCCTGACCCAACCCTGCACTGCTGTTCGGTGCTCATAAAGTGACAGCAGCAGGCCCAGGTTGTACCTCGTGCATTGCTCGTGCATTGCTCAAACTTCGCTTCTGCTTTCCCTTGAAACCATTCAGTTTTTACCCGGGCTATGTCTGACTGCTATGAAGCTGAGTTGCGGATCGCAAATCGGCAACAACAAAGAGTTGGAGGGTCGATCGCCTGTGAAGACTTTGTGCCTGGCACAGACTCCAGTTGCAATCAGTTGCATGCACATGTATCACATGTATCACATGTATCACATGTATCACATGTATCACATGTGTCTGGTAAGATGTTGCATGGCACATGTCTCGAATTGTTTAGAGCTTTGATGAGTTTTGTTCGATTTGCCTCCAGAGTTCGATGATGAGGGAAGCCTTCACGATACTTGGGATGTCATGAACATGCCGACCACATTTGCCCTCGAGCAGAAAATGTGTATGATTCGAAATGTGTTGTAACATTGTACAGTACATATACAATCTGAATCAATCTGATAAATGAATGCAAATGAATGCCTGTTGATTTTCAATCCTAATGTTCCATCTGGGATAAGACGTTTTATTCTTCATACGCATTTTTGCAATCTCAAAATATCTCACCCAATTGTACCACTTTTAGGCTTCCCAGCGCAACCAGCTTCTCGGCCACACCTTCGGCCTGTTGCTTATGGCTGTGACTTGCTGTGAGAGCAGGGAGACCTAAAACCAAAAGACTCTGCATGTATCAACCTGGATGTCATAGTCTTTTTCAATTCTTGATAGCTTTTCTATGCTTTTCTCTATTTAAATCTATTTCACCCTCATACACCATATCTAACTGCATCTTCCTGCATCTTGCCAACTTGCCGTTGCATCCTGTGTCCAGTTCGTGTGCAACACGTGGCGTGGCCACCGGAGTGCCTTCAACTCTTCGGCCGTCTTCCCGAGAGCCAAGGCGTCAGGCTGTGCGAAGAAGTTGGACATCAACTCGTCATGGTTGGACACCGGCTCTCCATCCAGGCCTCACGATTTGAAAAACGACAATCAAACGACTGGGACGATTTGAAATTTCTGAAACGACAGAACGACTCAGAACGACCCAACAATTCACCATCCTTTCCCAGTCAGAGTTGCAAAATGTCTTTGCATCTGAAGACTTCAAGGGCATGTTGACACACCAGTCCACCAAGCTGCTGATGGGATTCTGAGAGACTTTGAAGCCAATAAAATCCGCGGGAATCACTCGACCTGGATTTTAGGGAGGCAGCTCATGGAGATTCACATGGAATAAGTGGCAGGGTTGCCATTGACCTGTTGACAACCCTAAATTCTTACTCTTACCTATACAGGTCACATGACAGTAATCAGCATTGCAGATCAAAGCGGGTCAAAGCCATGGAAACTTTCAAGATTTGAAAAACGACTAGCTCAGTTAATCTCTACGAGAGTCAACAAAAGCTTGCGGCTGCTGTGCAGCCAAGTCAACATTCTGAAATCAGAGTTGAGTCTTCCGTACAACTGTGGGCACGAACCCTGGCCTCTAAGACTCTAAGTAGAATCCTCTGATTGACTAAGTTTGTCAGTGTGTGACCGATCAGCTGTCATGAAGTCGCCTTGATGCATTAGCTGGTAGAAGGAGTGCTGTCCATTGGTTCCTGGCTCTCCAAAGTAGATCGCACCAGTGGGCACCTCGGTTGACTCAAAGAAATCCAAAATGCATGACCGATTTTGTTGGACGTTGAACTTGCCTCGACAAATTTGAAATGGAAGGGACTGCAGTTGACTAAAGTTGATTAGAGCTCTCGACTTTTAGAATATTTAGAATTGATTGGAACTGATTAGAATTGTGTTTCTCAGGTCTTGTTGGCGTCTGAGTGTGTCTGGGCTTTGCCAAGGAGCAGAACACTCTTTACCATCCATCTGCACTCGCTTTCCTCGGAGTGGCGATGCTATTGGCAAGGTGACACTTGCAGGGCCGATGCCAAGGATTACTGCTAGAAACATGAAAGCCTCACCAAGTGAAGATCAATTGCACAGCTCACTCATATGGCACCACCACGTCTGTCACCCATGTATCCATGTATGTATGTATGTATGTATGTATGTATCTATCTATCTATCTATCTATCTATCTATCTATGTATCTATCTATGTATCTATCTATGTATCTATCTATGTGTCTATCTATGTATCTATCTATGTATCTATCTATGTATCTATCTATGTATCTATCTATGTATCTATCTATGTATCTATCTATGTATCTATCTATGTATCTATGTGTTTATCTATGTGTGTATCTTTGTATGTATCTATCTATCTATCTATCTATCTATCTATCTATCTATGTATCTATGTATCTATGCATCTATGTATCTATGTATCTACGTACGTACGTACGTATGTATGTATGCACATTCATACATATTGTCGGGCTGTCTGTGTCAGTACAGAATGCGTCCCCAAACTGTCCCTAAATGTCCATGCACGGCCTTCCTATTCTGGCACACATCGTGTTCAGTATGTAGCTTGCTACTGGGAGTTCAAATTCTGACCTTGCGAAGTACACACCATCAGAACCCCTTTTCGGAGGGCTTTTATTTGACTGGTGATCTCATGGTGTGTTCACTGCTAGTTTCTCAAATTATGTTCCAACTTTATATTTTTTCCGAATTCATTCACAATTCTTTGCCCAGTCGCCGTTGCTCTCCATATCCAGCTGCTGGATATGAGCAACAAAGCGAACCAGAGCCTCTCAAAGGGGCCACAGGGAAAGGTCGGTTGAGACAAGAAACGATGACAACATATGACATATGACAACTGTTCAAGGAAAATTTAAAATGGTTGACAAAATGCATTGAACAAATTGGTATGACAAATTGACACATCAAAACCATGAAATATGCAGGTCTTCGGTGCCTGGCAGTATGGCAAGACAGCGCATCCCTGGCACATGGGCGGTGTCGTATGTGTCGTGGAATTCGGGTTGGTGAATCTGGAGATACGAATTCCAGGCTTTGTGCCGGGCTTTAGTTCATTGTCGTGCATATGCTGCAACGTTCTGACACTCACTGCACACCCTGACTGTTGTGAAAACAGAAGTCTTGTGTCTGATCCTGCTCAGTATCACTGACAGGATTTTCCCGATTTCTTGGCTATCCTCCATTTTTCTAAGTTGTAGCCACTTGTCTCTTTTAGGGAGCCCGTGATTCTACTCCAAGCGAGGGCTTCTTTGTAGCTGTGACTTTCACCCCACTCGTTTGGATCGGTTCGCTGCCCTGAAAGCCTCGTATCCCATGCAGGAAGCATTCCATACAGCCAACAACCCTAGAAGTGTGGGCAAGTTCCTGAGCAATGCAGGAACTCACCGATTCGACAATGATAGGTTCTGATAGATGGTAATAATATGTAATAATTATAATGATGATAATAATATATAATAATCACCATAAGCAGTAATAGCAATAATATCTGATACTGAGGCTTCAAAAGGTATAGACGCAACCGCCGCACATGTTGTAGACTCAATTGGAGATTCCCATGAAAGCAAGGACTCAGCGAATTCTACACCTCTCCTTGCAGCATAGGGCCAGTCCGTGGGTGTGACTCTTCCACATGCCATGCCAAGCATCTTCTCCATGGGTGCATCTTTGAAATGAAGGTCCATTGCACGTGCTCCATCCAAGAATTTCTTCACGACATCAAAGCCATACCTGGCAATTCAATGGATTAAACCAACAAGGCGTCATCCAACAATTCATGGTTTGGGAGATTTTCGGGAAGGTTTCCTGTCGATTGCAGAATCTTTGATGTGCCCTTGGCACGTCGGACTCCACTTTCAGAGGCTACCTCCGATCCATGAGCTCGACCAAGTTGCTGCAATGAAAGAGGAACCACACCGACAGCGCTGCAGACAGAGAATCGGCCACCTCAGTTGGAGCCAGAGCAGAATCCGGATCTCCTGGGCAATCTGAAGCAAGAAAAACATAGAAAAACATGATAAAAACATCTTCCGGCAGCGTCGAATCATTTGACCACGATGCAAAACAGGCAAATTGGTGACAGTTACACTTACAGGTTTGATCTCCCTCTGTGCTCCTCATTTGGAGGCTGTGTTGCCAAGCTACGTGACATGTTTTGCTTGGGGGATCTGAGAAAGGCTGGTAAAAGTGACTGAAAAGCCCCCAACTCAGGCAACGGTCGAATCAAAACCATGGTTTCATCTCAGCTCTCAAGAGTCATTCAACTCCAAGTCACACCAAAAAGTCACACAGAGAATCTCCAAAACCATAAATTCGCATGGATTCGCGATCTATGTGCATCTATAGTCTATAGATATATATTGAGAGATACAATACGGATATGGATAGAATTGGATAGATATGGACGGTGGCCATCAAGCTGCAGACAGAAGCAGACAGCGCCAGACACAGCCAAGGTACCAACCCAATCCCAGAAACCGAAAACATTGGCTGAGTCGATCCCAAAGGCCTTCGTCTTATCCTTGGCAAACAGCAACTGCTCCAGTGAAACATAGGGTCTGATCTCTGACAGATCACAGATGATGCTAGAAATCGTGTGGCACAGCCCTAGAGAGCAACTTCAAGTCTGAAGCATCTGAAGCTATGAAATCGCCGGGATCAGTTTTAGCCACGAAATTCCCACGATGGTCGAATTCCCCGACAGAATGATCCCGATGCCTCGAAGTGCCAAGCGTCAAGGGCTGTGGAGCAGGCGATGACGTGCTTGGCGATGGCCTGGGGTCTCGTGTCTCGGGCGAGCGAACAGACCATGATGATCCATGATGATCCATGAACAGAATAGAACAGATATGGACAGAAATGGACAGTAGAATTCAGTAGAGAATGATTTTTCTTTCTTCTGCAAAGGATATATGGAGTCACAAACTTCACAAACTTCACAAACTTCACAAACTTCACAAACTTCACAAACCACTTTTGTTCTGCTCTTTGGTGCCCCTAATCCCAGAGCCTCTTCACTTTTCAGCTCCTGTCCGACGAGAAAGCAACGGATTCCGTTGTTCTTGGATCAAGATCTTATACGAAAACCATGTGAGCCTCACCTGGACCTTTATTGATTGCAATTTCTCAACCGTGCGGTAATCAGGCTTCATTGCATCAACCAAAAAAGAAGGCAGAATTGAAATCCTACTGGAGAAGCCATGCCAGAACAAGTTTGCACTGCATACCTCCTCGAATTAGCCCAGCTTTGAAACCCAACAGCGAAAGGTTCCAGGACTGTTCCGGTTTTTCAGGGCGTGCATTTTCATGTCACCAGTCCCCGGCCCCAGAGATTGAAACCCAACAGATTCGCTGTTGGGAACAAGCCTTAACATTGCTGAACACATTGTCAAGCAGTGTAAGATGCCAAACAGAAACAATGCTTCTTTGCATGTGTGTCTTTTTATCCTTTTTCATCCTTTCCAAAGCCACATGTGCCGTCAAAATACGGTGTGCGGTATATGGTTTATGGATGTTTATGGTCATCCATCCCATGGGAATCCAGTGGGTTGTGGATTGATGCCCATCCCCAATTTTTGACCATGGCATGTTTGGGCCGACCCCTGCGGGAACGAGCTCCTTCAAAAGCCAGTCCTTCACAGTGCGTGCATTCAGCATCGTCTCTGCCTGCAGGCTTCGGGGCCGTGAGCATTAAAAACCAACGTGTGCTACAGACTGCTGCACTGAGCTCAACTCGATAATTTACTTGGCGCTGGAAACCAAGAAATTGTTTTCATTAATTTTCACAGTAGAACTCATTGCAAATGAATACAAATTATATAACCAGACTATAATCAATGCATAGTTTTCCTGGGCGAACAATGGTGGTGTACAATTGAGCCAAGGCAGCCAAGGCAGCCACGGCAGCCAAGGCAGCCAAGGCCAATGCAAAGGCTTAAGGTCCAAGAAGTCCAAGGGGCTGTGGTGAAGGTCTTGGAGATGACTACCACTAAAGTCGTCTCAGCTTTGAGTCCAGTCCTCGAGCCACACGAAATCCGAAGGGTTCACTGCTGCCCATGACATCACCCATCTCATGGGGCAGTGGCAGCCAGTCATATGAGTCATATGAGAAAGTCGTCTTGAAGTCTGACAAGACTTGAGGGAAGTGATGGTTTGTAGTGGATGAAAGGTGCGAAGGTTTTGGCTAGTGAGAAGCAGTAGTCCGTCTGTGATGTGGAGAAATCGGATGCCAGTGGACAGGGGGCTTCGCTGTCGTCAATCCACTGCGAAGTCTGTCAGACATGTGAGGGGGGCATTTCAGAAACCCAAATTGGATGTACCAAACACAAGTATAATCTACGTAAGGCCTACAGAATATCCAAAAAGTGGCCTTAGAAGGCACAGCATGAAAGGGAAGGACTGCAGGACAAGTCCTCCCACCCGGGAAATGCTTGCGCAAGCCATGCCCCGAATCATGCAAGGCCATTTTTGGGGAATTTCCCTGGTCACCCACAGGTCTTGATGGAGATGATATGAGATGATGACAAATCACACAAACTCTCAATAGCGTTCAATATCCTTCCCCCCTGGATCCACAGCATTTCCACCCGTGGAATCTTGACATCGGTTCATCGAAGCTGCAATGCGCGCTTAACGTCGATCGGATCCACATTGGCCAAGAACCGCAGCGACCGACCCTCTGCTGCGGAAGACGCAGCTGGATCAGTGCCTGCGAAACGGGGCTCGCCCAGAAGCCCAAACAGGGCCAAACGGGGCGAAACGGGGCAGCTTGAGATAACTTTTGTGCATGACACCTGTCCCAAAGGGTTGCATAAATTCTTTCAGCATAATCATCAGACACATGGAAGTCTATATTGGCTATCCCAGGGCAGTCAGGGTGGACGCTGAATAGGCTCAAAGGACCAAGTTCCCCACGAAACGGGTTTGAAAAAGAAAGCAAAATAACATTCAGTCTCACAATCTCACTTAAAAGGGGCTGAAACACGCAGTTTGTCATCTTGCATCAAAGACCTCCAAAACAGGCAACCACTGACACTGTCCCTTTCTTTTTCCACAAGCTACTTTGGAGGTTGACGTTGACACACGGATAAAGCCACTTGCAAGCCAAGTTTCGGAGTGCTTCATGAACAAATTCAACACCCAGGTAGGAACCTCCGATTCCTTGGGGGCGTCTCAATGTCAACTCAGATATCTCTAGCGCTGAGTGAGACTTGACAAGGAGGCATTACAACGTATCACTTGGGAAACCCAGTAATGCCTACGGGGGCCTACCGCTCTTGGGAGACCTCACACATGGACGACTCATGGACCTGTTGATCCTTTCTCAAGGTACTGACTCGTAAGGCATCTACCTTCAAACATTATACAAATACAGAAATGTACAAATATAGGGATATTGGGTACATACAAACACATATGTATGCATGTATGCATGAATGCATGTTTACATTGTAATACATATTTACATGTTTATTATGTATTTACATATTTAGATGTTTGCATACATGCATGTACATCCGTCAATGCAATACATACGTCATGTTCTTTCCATTTGCCATAGCAAGGCTCAACCTGCTTTTGGGATTTTAGAGACACCCAAGGATTTTATGCAGGTCAAGCATCCAATGCACAAGACATCTGTGAGCTTCTTGCCAGTGTACCCCACAAAACTGCCACTGCGCACCTTGTCGCAAAATGCCTTACATGGTGGCAAATTGCCAGCTGGATCTGGCTGAAAATCAAAAAACAGCTCACAAAGTCAGGCAAGCCATTTCATCAATTGGCCCATAGTGCGCAACATAGCAATGGCATTGTGAAGTTTCCAGTGTGCACAATGTGACCATGTCCTGCCAGCCTTGATGGCATCCAGCACCGAATGCACATCTGGAACCACATTCTTGCCATCCACATTGATCACCTCCTGAACGAGGTAAATTAAAAAATGTCAAAAGCCAGCCAGGTTGTTAAACTTTTAAACTGAGCTGCATGTCCTTAAAAGCCTTCTGAGTATAGTCTTGAAACCTAAGAAGAGCTCTCGAAACTCGGAGTGGCGAAGCCTTGAGTTGCTGGGATCTTGCATAAGAAAGCAAATATTCCTTGTTTTTCGACACCAAAAGGTCAAAGATGCGTGTATGAAGAACTGCACAAGATACCTGAGACACTTCACCAAATAGGAACAGCTCCAATTGCAAATCTACTTCGGGAGCCAAGGTTTTGGCAAATCGGCAAATGTCATTTCCACCCCAGCATTGGCCCATGGAGAATTCCTCTTTCGGAGCCCGTAAGGCAACATGCAGAACAGCCCGACCCTCGGTCTCATTGATCTTCTCCTTGGCCATGCGATGTGAAAAATCTCTACGACTCTACGGGAGAAATTGCAGCTTGAGAATGCTTTCAAGCATGGTTTGAGCTCTAGACAGACTGGTCTTTGCTCAATCACATAATGGTTCAGTGAAAATCAGTGAAACATCTTTAGTCATCTTTGGCGAAGTTGCCCCAGCAAAGAGGGCTTTCTTCTTGTCGTCAACACCTGCTGCCTGATCGGCTTTAAGGGACCGCTTCATGACACAGGTGGCTGGGCATGGCTAGTCTGGAACGAAGTGTTATCGTTAATTATTTTAGTCCAGACAGGAGTGTAACTGGATAGTAACTGGATAGTAACCGGATAGTAATAGTATGTGATAGTGGCAGTGGTGAGAGTCATGACGAGATGACACCGCCCCAAGTGTCGCATTGAGTGTTGTTTGTCGAGGCACCTTGGCTAGATCGAAGAGTTGGGACATGCACTCCTCGAACTGGTGCAACTCCCCAGGAAGCTCTGTTTTTGGCAAACCAAGAAGGCCCTTTTGGGGACATTTCAAAGTCTGGGAGTCTGGTATCACAAACATATAATGAAATCGGAGTTCTTGACAGACATTATGTTCAACTATGCTGGGTCTACCTGCAAGAGTTGCTGATGCTCCTAGAGGCTTCATATCCGAAGGTCACTATTGGCGAGCATCCCACCGGTGTTCTAAACTGAACAGCTGAAAACACACTGATGCTAAAGTACACATATACAGGTATGCAAGCGTACTATATATTAATGTATCAATCTATGTATATATATATAATATAGAAATTATATATATATTATATATATATACAAACATGTGTGTGTGTGTGTTGCTCTTTTGGTTTGCCTTGGGTTACTAAAATCAAATCTCCTTGGTGACCTTCTGTCGGCAATAGTCCAGGCAAATGCCTTCAGCCTCGACCATCATCCCATCGCACCTTGAAGCACTGTAAGGCAGCCCGGGGTTCAAACAAATAAAACTTAACAGGATAATCATGGATATATCAGGATATTACATAACTACATGACATTACTGACATTACATCTATGTCCTGAGTATATACGATTTCGTACATGTTGAAGCCAATACCTCAGGTGTTTGACATCTGTACCCCCTTGTCTTTGCAGTCATCTTGGGATGTCTAACATGATCCGTTCTAACTCTGCTGGTTAAAGAAACTGTGGAAATATATTTGGGAATATGTTATTGACATCAAGTTGAGTTCCTGAATGTTTGCCTACAGTCGTTATTCATAATGTGACGTGACTTTCACCCGAAGGTCTTGGCAAGGTCTGGGCAAGGTCTGGGCAAGATGATTCTACATGGTTCTACCATCAGCGCCTGGCTTCATCCTTCAGCAGTTCGCGAAGATGCGTGGATTTCAGGTCTTGGGCGCTGCCTTTCAGCGTTTCAAAGAGCTTCTCCGTCATGGCCTGAGCCGTTAAAACCACACATGGCCGGAAACTTGAGGAATGATTCCTGACGTCACCATTCCTGACGGTAACGGACAAGCTGCAGCACCGTTTTGGAAACGCCTTTTTGGATTACGGGATTGGTCAGCACATTCATAGCAGCACATTCATAGCAGCCGAGCTAAAGGGCTGTAGCTCAAGATACTCTCCCAAAACAGGATGAAATTGATGCTTCTCAGTTCTCAGGAGCACATCTGAGTCAAAGTGATACATGACAGAGTCAAATAGTGTGCATGACCTATAATCATATCAATCATGCGTAAATCATACATGAATCCTACAATATAAACATAAATAAACATAAAATCAGAGACTCCCGGTATCCCACCTTCAGCCTGTGCGGAGACAATGTGGATGGTAACTCTTGGCCGCTTGAGCCCAATGTAGCGCCGCAAATTGCAGCTGATTCACGTGGGATGGAAGTGAGGCCGATGCCAAAAGCTATTCATTGATTTACATTGATGACAGGTATGACAGGTATGACAGGTATGAGACAAGGGTACCATTCATGCACTATGGACCATTCAGTCAGGATGTTCTCGGGCGGTTCTTGCTGCGAAAAATGCAAAATGTATCAAAATGTCATCTATTGGAGAATTTCCTGTTCTCTACAGTCTCTACACTCTTCCTACAAACTTTTACATGAACGCTGCCACGACCCACTGCACCACTGGCAGCCCGTGCGAAATTGCGAGACAGCCAACTGTTTGGAGAAGGAGTCTCCACAACCCAACCTCACTGCTTTGTACCAACTTAAGGTTACTGACAGATCCTGCAGGCCGAATGTAAAGATGCAGAACATCATTCCTTGACTGGAAACAGATGATGTCATTGATTGAACTAGCTGGAGACTGGCACAGAAAATGCTTGGCAAGGCTGCGAAGACGCACAGGAGCTCCAGTACAATGCGTAGACCAAGTTTAGCAAGCTAGGGAATGAGCAATGTCATGCAAAACGTAAATGCTTTCTTGATGTTCTTGATATGTCATGATGTTCTTCATCCTTCTGACACACTCTGACCCAGTTTGACACATGACCAACGCAAATGTGCACCAAGTTGACCGCGGGTGACCCAGGGAACCCAGCCAGGCTTTGGCGTTTGAATCACAGAAGATGGACTGACTGCGGCCTCAGTTCGATCCAGAGCATCTCGTCCCCTCGTCCCCTGAGTGGTGTCAAGTCTGTGTCCCCCACTGTCCCAATCGAAACATCACGAGAGCCAGGAGAGCCACCAAGGCTTGGACACGCCGGGTGTCACGCGGTGGTGTCATGGGCGGCATCGGTTCCTGTTCAGCGAGGCTGGTGACATCTGGTGACCTGCAAAACCCGCCCCAAAGGTGTCGAAACGTTTTTTGTGTCGCATAATCCGGAAGCAATTGCAATAGCATCAATAGCTATTAAGTTTACATGGGGTAACATGGGGCCAATCTAGGGTAACGTCGGCTCAACATGGGTGCAAGTGGTCCAACATCGGCTCAATGTAGCCCGCACATGGCCAATTTTGGCTCAACATGTGCAATTTGCTCACCATATGCTATACTTTTACCTGTTCAATTCAATGCAATATCAGCCTACTGAAAAGAAATATCAAAAAAAGAGCACAGCTAAAAATAAGCTTATAGAGCAACTTTTGGCCGTGTTCAATTTTTTTTCAGTCAAAAAACGCCAAAACAAACACTTCCAGTGCGGGCCGTTGTCGCGAAGAGACCAGAATACATCTGATGTCATCTGCTAACGACACATTGCAGCACTCTAGCGGATCCACTTGATGAGACTCGGTTTACAGTTTACACTGCTCGGTTGCTCTCTGAGATATCTTTGTCCCAAATTCTTTTCTGCCTTTCAAGTGTGTTTCAGAAGAGGGATAAACGCATGGATTCTTCAGAAAGCACGTCATCAGATGAGGGTTGTAATGAGAAAGGTGAAACCATCCATGTTCCTTAGACACTTATAGACAACACAAGGATAAAAGGTCGCCATTCTTTCGTAAGGTTTGACAATGGCCACAAACGTTGAAGTCTGTGATAACTGTTCCAACAGTCCTTGGGGACGCTCAAGTGCTGTCCGCGATTTCCAGAGCATGGCGACATTGCGTCCTGTGAGAAAGCAGCCTGCTCTGAACAACCCGCTAGAGTGTAAGCAACGGTCTTGCACATCTTGCACATCTTGGATATCCTGCATATCTTGGATATCTTGTATGCCTTGGATATTTTGGATATCTTGCATACCTTGCATATCTTGGATTATATCTTCCAAGTGCTTCAACAAATTACGCCAGCAGAGAACCCATACACCAACAGTCAGCTAGGACATTTTCTTTCGGCATACTGGGAGACCATGTTGGGAGATGAGCTTGAAAACTGCCTGCCCAGAAAATTCAGCTCACCCCCTGATTCTATAAGAAATCAAAATCTCTGTAGCTTTCTTCTATGGGGAAGACATCGCAAAGAGCGTGTATCTGTGCAGTGAAATAACATACAGTACAGATAATGATATTGACTGCACGGGCTGCTTTATGGAGAAATACAACCCTCGCCTTCCGCGTTGCTATTAACACCCATACACACACTTTCAGGTTCCTTCGGCAAATTTCCTCGACGCCCTACAGTATGTCTAGGCAATCATGGCACCTTCCCACCGCTTCCCAAAACCTCGTATGTGAGCTTCGTTCCACGCTCACACCTAAGCAACATTGAAATGTGCAGGGTTGCAGGGTAGATACCCTAGCCTCACATATCCTTGTTCACACTCCATACCTTTACAGCGAGAAGATACGTTGCGATAGTGTCGCTCTCGGTCTGAGCGGTGGAGCAGCTTGACTCTCAGCTTCAGACTCCTCCGTGACTGCTCCAAGCACTGCTTTCCTTTGGACGAACAAAGGAAGATGTTGTCTCCACCACCACACTTCTATGATTCTATACCAAGCCAGGCTTTACCCTTTGTGGCAGCGTTTGCACAATGTGTTTGATCTGTTGAAACCATTTGACTCAAAATAAATCTAATCAGACTCTACTCAATATACTCAACAAAGTCAATAAAGCAAACAACTTAGGCATCTGATACAAAAGGTATGCACCAAGCATCTGAAACGGGACGAAATTGTTCTCAGAATTTGCCTGCACCGCCATCAAAGCGTGACAGCATTTCGATCTGATCCCATGTGTCCCATGAAAAGGAAATAACAGGAACTCGTTTGGCAAAGGATCTCGACCTGGTGGGATGTCGGTGTGTCCATGCTCCCAGCCAAAGGCAGTACCATGAAATGACAAATCAAACGATTGCCTAATACAGATTCATGCGGGTACACAAATGCAAATGCATACATATGTCATATAATCATATATCCATATATATATATATCCAAAGAAATCCCATCTGAGGGCACAAGTTCGAGATAGTTCGAGAGTCCTGCTCTATCGGACTCGCTTCTCCTACCTGCGCTACCGGCAGACCCAAAATTTGCTGCCTGGGTTGCCTGGGTCCAAAATGGGCATACGGGCGGTGGCGTCTCACCGTCATCCATTGGCATCTGACGTCCACGGAGCGGAGTCTCTGGGGCAACGTTCATCATTGGCCTTCGTTGGAAGCATGGATTCGCACTCTTTGAACAATCTTGAACATGAAGTCTTGAAGCACCAGGCATCGTGAAGTTTCCATCTTTTTATATTTGAATAAGTTTGAAATCTAAGTGCATGAGAGACTGGAATTTGTTCAGTATCTGCATCTTCTTGAATAGTTTCTGAACACTTTATGAGGTTTCTTTTCTCCTGCGAACCTAAAGACATGGTGTGGGTTGAGCTGCCGCACTGCGCCATAAAGCTGCTCGAAGCGGCATCACACATCATTGGGACTCCCTTGGTGCTGCCATCTTGGCAAGCGTTGCATTTATTTTTGAGCAACTCAAGCGGAGAAAATCATTGAAAACCGCATCAACGCCGTAGCAAACTCCGTAGAGAAGAAAAGATTCAGGAGAAATCAGGAGAAAATCTAATTTATCGGAAAGATGCTCTTGAGATATCTTGAGATATCAGTCTGTCAAAGCCTCTGCCAGCCCCCAGGCCAATCCCATTGGGCTCTTTGACTGGCTCCATATGTGGCACCTCGTACGTTGTCCGCAGGCAACGGGAAAAATGGCCAAGCAAATGCTCAGAAAGACCATCTGCAAGCATTTCTGGAAATCCTCTTGTCATTCCAAAGCGGTACTCAGCATCAGATTTGCATCAGGACGGATTAGCATTCATGACCTACAGATTTGTTTCAAAATTCCACGCCTACCACCACGACAGAACTTGTTCTTGGGCACCAGGCATACATCATGTTGGGATCGCATTGCATTTCACAGTTCCACGTAGGCCTTGGACTGAATCATAAACATCCCGGCGGAAGGGAAACCGCGCGAGCGTTTTGATTGGTTGTTTCCAGGAGAGTCACAATCACCTGTAATTTACAATATAAAATGCTCTTCCGATCAGTTTGGATGACTGAATTTGGGTTAAAAAAAGTGGATGCAAAATCTATTGATTTTTAACAAATCCAGGTAAACATCATGTGCATCAGACGTGGATGCACAGATTTTTTTTCACACTCTTCGTCGGCTCAGCGATCCATCAGTGTGGAAGCTGTCTTCGACAGCAAGTTGCCATTATGGCACTCATAACGCGTAGCAACCTGTAACGTAGTAAACGATCACAGAGATCTCAGCAGCGTAGCAACATGTAACGTAGTAAACGATCCCAGAGATCTCAGCAGCGTAGCAACATGTAACGCAGTAAACGATCCCAGAGATCTCAGCAGAGTAGCAACATGTCACGTAGTAAACGATCCCAAGGATCTCAGCAGCGTAGCAACATGTCACGTAGTAAACGATCCCAAGGATCTCAGCAGCGTAGCAACATGTAACGTAGGAAACTATCTCAGAGATCTCAGCAGCGTAGCAACATGTCACGTAGTAAACGATCCCAAGGATCTCAGCAGCGTAGCAACATGTAACGTAGGAAACTATCTCACAGATCTCAGCAGCGTAGCAACCTGTAACGTAGTAAGAAAGTCCCAAGGATCTCAGCAGCGTAGCAACATGTAACGTAGGAAACTATCTCAGAGATACCAGCAGCGTAGCAACATGTAACGTAGTAAAAGATCCCAGAGATCTTAGCAACATCGCAGTATATCCTGTACGAAGTACAAGGAACGTTAACATGCACCCCCACCCCACCCCACCCCAACCCCAACCCACACTAACATGGCAATATATATCCTGTACGAAGTACGAGGAACGTTAACATGCCCCCCCACCCCACCCCACCCCAACCCCAACCCACACTAGAGATCTCAGCAGCGTAGCAACATGTAACGTAGTAAAGGATCCCAGAGATCTTAGCAACATCGCAATATATCCTGTACGAAGTACAAGGAACGTTAACATGCCCCCCCACCCCACCCCACCCCAACCCCAACCCACACTAACACGGCAATATATCCTGTACGAAGTACGAGGAACGTTAACATGCCCCCCCACCCCACCCCACCCCAACCCCAACCCACACTAGAGATCTCAGCAGCGTAGCAACACGTAACGTAGTAAAAGATCCCAGAGATCTTAGCAACATGGCAATATATCATGTACGAAGTACAAGGAACGTTAACATGCCCCCCCACCCCACCCCACCCCAACCCCAAGACAAAGAGCAATACTCAAAAAAGAAGCAAAACGCACGTACGGTTTTCCTGCCGTAGGCATAAACATGCACAAACTATGGTAAACTGTCTAGTTTTGTCTTCAAGAAGATTAGAGACATTGACGTGTCCCGAAAAACGTGTTCCATGAAAACCTGTGTCAGTGTGACTCTTGCAAATCTCACTTAAACTTTGGAGCTCTGCTCTGATTGGCCAAATCTAATGACCCAGTCAGTTTTCATCTCCGAAGGTCCCGTTTCATGATGTGCATTGCCAGTACTGCCAGTGTGCTCAAACTTGTCTTGCACTTTCTTCTGTCGCAAATTGAATTGGTGAGTGTCCCTTGGACGGCTATACTTTGTGTATGTATCCCAAAATTGACTGTTTCGCTTTCTTGTGACTATCTACAGCATTTGCGACACATCTTGTTCTGTCTCATGTAAGTCATTCTTTTCCCCCAAGCTCAGGCCTCAGGTGGAACTATAAACATCGCACGATCATAAACTGTGTGTCGGAAATGGCCCGCTCCACCCTGTAAATCAACCACCTCAAACGAAAGCGCCTTGTTCTTTGTAAAGAAACTACACCAGGAACAAACTTGATGAAGCGATCAAACCCATGGGGTTTGAAGAGCCTGTGCAAATACCCAGAGGCCTTTCAGAAACACCTGAGTGCCCCAACGGCGCACATCCGCATGGTGCACAATGCTGGCCACGAAAAATGGCAGTCATTGCTGCAGCAACACCAATCGCTGCAGCGGACGCCAAGTCCACATTGACATGTGGTGGCTCAGGATGTGCCTGACTCAATCCACGATGGGCGCTAACAAATCTAACAAGCAAGTAAAGATCTGGCAAGCATTGTCAGAATTGGAAGATCTGTATTCTGCTTGATTGGTACTTTATTCGAGTCAACTGATTGATAGGCTAAGCAAAGACTTGTCAACACCTGACTGGTCGCGATTAGAACAATTCCGGCCTTCAAGTCGGTCTAGGACCCTATGACCCTTAGGTTTACAAAAAGAAGATATGAAGTTCACATGGGCTAAGCCGGCTAAGCTTCTACGTAGCATGAAGTTTGCCAAGTAAGATTGCACACAGTCAGCACTGCACTGCCTGCATGGGCGCTGGCCCTTGCGGTGCTTGCGGAATGGGTGCCGGCAGTTGATCAGCGAGGTGCAGTTGAACCACGCCTGACCACACTCTTCGAGCTCATGACCACTGGCTGAGGCACAGAAATTGCGGAGTTTTAGAAAAAACTCTCTGTATTAGTACAGTGTAATATAATTCTATATAGATTGTACAATATATATATACATATATGTATAATTGTATATATATATATACGATTAAATACGTATATAATTGTATGTGTATATATATATATATGTATATATACACTATTATATACTGCTTCTCAGCTTTTCTACTGGACGGAAGCTGTGTGTAGAGGCAGCTTCGGGGCTTGGGTACAATAAATCCGTTCAGCCGACCTCCATCCATCATTGGCGGTTGGGAGGGAGGAGGATGCTGCGGCACCAGGGAAGGTGACACCTGCTGCATGGCCATGGAGTCAAACATTCACATGAGTCAACGGAAAAACAGAAAAATACAGAAAGCATGTAAATGACGTAAAGGTACTAGTCTCTATTTGCGTTCTTGCACAAGAAGAGATCAAAAGCACGCTGTGGCGCACTTGTTGAGCTTCTTTTCCACACACAGTGGGAACGCGCTGACGGGGAAAGGCCTGCTTTGCGACATGGTCGCAAAGGGATATCAGCCTACAAGCAAGAATTTCTTGTGTACCCTTCTGACTAACTTGTCAGCTATGGAATGAGCCAACTACAGGGCCCCTATGCACTCAGCACCGCAGCGCACTGCTTCAGTAGCCGATCAACCTCTGTCCTTTGGCTCCTTCGGCTTCAACAGCTTGACGACATGTTTGTAGCCTCTCGTCTTGGCTATTTGGATGGCACCAGAAATCGCTTCGTTCACCTGTCTGGCACATTTTCTCCGTTGCCATAGATTCATGTCAGGGCTGCAGAGAAGTTTCTCAAGTTCTTTCTTGAGGCATGCTGCTGTCTCTCCTTGTCCATGCCTGGCCGCAAGCTGCAGGGCATTGAGACCCTTCATCTTGGCATTCATATCAGCTCGTTTCTCCACCAGCAGCTGAACCACCTCCGTCTGCCCTAAGATGGCGATTTGAAGCAAAGGTGTCATCCTATCCTCATTCCAGGCATTGACGTCGGCACCCTTCTCAATCAACAACTTCACCATTTCCATCTGGCATCCTTTGAGAGCAAGGAGTAGTGGGCTGTCTGCACCTCCGTTTCCATGGTTCAGGTTCGCTTTCTCCTGCAGGAGCACCTTCACAGCAAAAGTGTGCCCCTCTTCGGCAGCGAGATGTAGCGATGTGAAGCGGTACTTGTTGGCCGCATTCGCATCAGCACTCCACTTCATCAACTCAGTGATAGTGTCACCATTTCCACACATGGCAGCGAGCATGAGGGCAGTGTTGCCTTCTTGGTTTGTGGCATGCACAGAGGCCCTTTCGCTCAGGAGAAGTCTCACTGTTTGCAAGAATCCATGCTTGGCGGCCAAAAGCAAGGGAGTGTGACCTTCAGGATCTTCAGCTTCCTTATCAGCACCCTCCTTGATGAGAAGAATCACCACTTTTATTTCTGTTCGACGCTCTCTCATGCAGCTGCGATGCAGACACCTCTTTTATCACGTGGGGACAACAAGTGAGCATTCAGCCCTTTGGGCTGTGGGCTTGGCAAAAGCAATCGGTTGGCAATGGATTGCAAGGATTCTCAAGAGGTCTGGTGGTGTATGGGGAAGGTGGTGGGTGCGAAGATCAAAAAATAAGGGGATCCCACCCTCCCTCCTCTTGAGAAGTGATGGCAACGATCGCTTGAAGTTGCAGTCAATGCAATTCACTCCTGAAATAAAATATAGTCACATGTGACAGCAATTTATTTCTGTTCGACGCTCTCTCATGCAGCTGCGATGCAGACACCTCTTTTATCACGTGGGGACAACAAGTGAGCATTCAGCCCTTTGCCCCACTTTTAATTTCAAGAATGTGAACAGTTGTTGTATTGTATCGGCAGCAAGCTTAGAATCATCAACATATCCTGCATCCAAAAGTTCATTCACAATGCCTCTGGACGGCATATCTGCTATGTTGGAGTGAGAGGGTACTCTGGCTAACCAGCAGCTGGTTTCTGCAGTAACTTCCAGCTCACAAAATATTGCGCACAAACAATCTACTGTAGCATTTTCGGAAAAACCTTTCATCATACAAAATTTTGTTCCTTCATTGTCAACGTAGAGCGTACTGTTCCTGTTAGTCAGCTTTTTGATCCACATCAGGTAAGCAAGCACTGCACAAAACGTCTCCGCTTCGAAGATAATCTGTTGTTTGCTTGCTTCACCAAGAATTGCTCTTTGTGGCCCGTCCAAAGTGCACGAAAAGAAAAGTTTAAGGCCTGTAGATGGATCAAGTAAGGTTCCACCAAGTCCGCACACCAGATCTTTGGCATCCCTTTCATAACAGGCATCAGTAAAAATTAAGATTGGAGCATGCTCATCCCAGCTGAGGGTTCTGGGCTTCCCTGACTGCATCAGTTTCACAAACAGTCTAAGTGAAAGAACATGATGTGCTTCTAACTTTGACTTTCTGCGGCAAGCTGCGTCACGAAGGACTCTAATACAACGTTTACCAGTCCTGCCATAAAGTTGCGCCTCAGCAAATTGTAGCCGCCCTCTAAGCTTTTGGGCGTCAGATTGTAGAAGGTGGCCAGATTGGACAACACGTTCCACTTCAGCGGCTATCTCTTCAATCCGAGAAGTGGTATTGAACAGCCTACAGATGCCTTCCGCAGATTCTTCCAAGTTGAAGAGGACTCCAAGTGCCTCGCAAGTATATGCAAAGGGAATGCACTTTCGCCCGTCTTTTGCATATTCCCATCCAAGAAGCTCAAACAATGCCGCTGCAGTAATCTCCGAGCTGCGCACCAAATCTGGTGTGCTGAAAAGGATGTAGTCATCATAGAACGATGACCATACAAGAAGACAAGCAGTTGTACCAATCCACCATATTGCTCTGGCCAGACGCAAGAAAGAATGCACACTTTTAACTGCTCCAAAGGGAAGCACCTGGGCTTGGAAGAAAGCCCAGGTACCAGTTGCAGGACAAAAGACTCGGATGTAGGAGAAGGCACGCCCGGCTGGGCTTAGTCCAACCTGTCTATATGCACTGGATAAATCAAAAGTGCGCACCATAAGGTCTGCCGCCCTTCGAATTTTCTTGCAACCTCTCAACCAAAAAATCAAAATAGCAGCTGCTATGTCGACAGTGTGAAGAAGAGGAGTTTCAAACACAGTGACAGCTTGGTTAACTGAGGACTCTGAGAAATCGTCGATCAACCTCACCTTGTGCCGCTGACGAAGACCAAACCGCCGAGACACTGGTGCATCTTGAGGAATTTGTTCAAACGGTATGGGACCCAACAACCATCCTTTATCCCGCTCTTCCAGTGTCTGTCTCCAGACTTCATTGTCAATATCCGCATCGCCAGAACTGCGATAATCTTGTTCCACGTGTGGTCTTCTCAGCTTCGATTGACTCCGGAGTGCATCAACTGTCAAAAGAGCCGGAGTGAACTTTACAGGCAGCATTTGTGTTTTGGGCACCTCACCAACAAGGTCAGCTCCATAAACAAGTTCGTTGACCACATCCTTGTCGGGGTATTTGTAAAAATCAAGCATTTCAGAAAAAAGTTTCAACCTCTTTTGACGGACAGCATTGGCAACAACAGGATCCATTTGCGATTTAAGCTTCATCTCATCGGGGACCAGCTCTTTCGCTCTGATACTCCAGTATTTGAAAAAGTCTGCTCTTTTTGTGGCTACTTCGCTTGGAGAAAGCTTCAACATCTGTTGTACCACAAATTTCAGTTCATCAGGAAGCGTTGTAAGGCTGTCCATGGGATGCATGACATGTAGTGCTCTCTCCACAAACTCATTGGGCTCCCACTGCACGCCCAAAATACGCAAACAATCAAAATTTCCAGTGAATTGATCAAAACTCTCCCAGGAGAAATCTACCTTCCACAAAGCCAGTTCATGTAAAATGCGCTCTTGGTATTGCGGTCGCTCATTCACGCTCATGGTTCCCCCAAATTTAACTTCGTGGATGAGCTTGTGTTCAGCTGGAACTGAATATTGGGCAGGCCAAACTAAGTCATTGTTGAGTAAGAAGACAACATATCTATGTTTATATGGAGGCACTGTAGGTGGCAGTTTCATGGAAACAGCTTGCGTTCCAGTTGAGGCTTTGGCAGCATGATAAATGGAAGGTGGTGAAGCGTCCATCTGCAGACCCAGCTGAATGAACCTCAAAATAAAGGCTTTAACTATAGCTTCACAAAGCGCCTTTGGGTAGTGTACTTCAAGAGCAGTTGCAAAAGTGCGTTTATTTCCAGTACGCACAATTCCCCATGGTTCATGCTGGTGACCTCCATCACAAACTGCAGAAATCGTATGGACTTGTTCGAAATTCGCAACTAAACGTGTGAACTTGGGCCTTCTGGATCCATACATGCATGCGTGATGATCTTGCACGAAAAGGTCTGCTGTGACACTGCTTTCAACCCAAACTGTTACAAACCAAAATAAACTGTTCCTCGGATTTTCAATCATGCACAAAATAGAAAGTTTGCAACACCGCTCCAGCACCTCAACAGTGAAAGCATATAAAATATTTGCCGCACTAACCCTGGCAAGCTCATTTGCAGTAAGACCCTGTATGCCATCTGGCTCATCAAGTGTCCTTAATGGTCGTGGTGCATTTTCACCCGGCAAATCAATTGCTCGAGCTGCGCTGGCCGTCCCACACGGCGGAGCGATAAAAACAGCTTTCACAGCTGGATGCTCTAGCCATTCTAAGACCAGTTGTTGGTCAGCAGTCGATGTCAAATCCAAAGAAATTACACCAGCCAGCAGACCTGGGTGTTTTGTCTTATCAACGGCCAAAGCGTTTGAAAAACCGTATCTTTTAAAGCATGCGGTTACCCCAGCTGTTCCACAGAAAAGTTCAATTACAATTATATCTTGCATGGTGAGACCTTGAAGCGGTGTATCCGAGAGTCAGCTGGAAGTCTGCTTAGGCATCTCATCCGGATGAGAGGCATGGAATGCGTGTGGCTTGAAACAATTGGCCTTGAAACATACGTGCCGGCCACGGCGACACGTGCCACCTGCAGGAGCGTCTGAACATTCGCTCAAATTGTAGTTGAAGCATATGGCTCGACCCTTTGCATCCCTTCCAACTGCTCCTTTGATACCACGCGGGGCAACGCTTGACCCCTGGTTTTGTCCTTTGTTTCTGCCTTTGCCTTTCTTACCAGCTGCTTGCCCCTTGTACCCAGAATCTCGGTTGGGTTCATCTCTGTTTCGCATCGGTGCATAGCTGCTACTTGGAGGAACAGGCAAGGGAAGCATGTGAAACACAACGTTGTAGTCCGACAACGCCTCATGTAAGGCTGCATCCAGTGGCTTGGTACCATCTGCCTTTGGCCTGATATCAGAAACCTGCTGTGCAAGAAAAATCCAAACCTCTCGATCTGCTTTCAAGATCTGGCTCAAGCTTGTCTGCTGGTAGTGTGGAGGCGGATCTGTATTGAGTCTCCTCATGAGTTTATCTATGTAACGCTCATGCACTGAATAGGAAATGAGGCTGGCAAATTCATATGCTATTGCACGCCTTTTCAGGCAAAGTTGCAATTTGTACGCTGAAGAAACATCTTCCTCAGGAGTATTTTTCGTTTCACGGATGGTCAAAGAATTCGTCTCGATCCTCAACTTCCTATCAGACTTTCCAACGGAAATCTCCAGTTCTCTGGAATTGCATTTGGCAGGCTCTATGTACCTTATAACCTTGGTGTCATACTGATGGGCACATTCGTCCAACAGTGCTTGGCTAGGCTCATGAATGCCTTCCATACTGAGGCCAGGAAATTGTCTTCTAATCTGATCCAACCTGGCTGTCCTTTCGGCATGGGGCATTGCTCTGGGAGCACTAAGGTCCTGCGGCTGCTCAACTGACGCCTTGAGCGTAGCAGTAAGGACAATTTCTGCCTCATAATGCAGCCTTCGGAGTGCTGCCATTGCCCCCATGGATGGTGGGATATTCTGATTCACCCTCAACGCCCAGTCATTAAACTGCTGTTCATCAAAGTCCTGTCCCGGGCGTTGAAATGCAAAAGCCAAATGAGCAAGTGTTGTAATACCCGCAACTCGCAGATTGTCCATGACCAAGTCCGGGACTTCATATTCCTTTGCCCTGGCCTCAAAATGGGCCTTGCTATCCGACAGTGAAGCCATGGAACCACTTGCGCAAATCTATCCAAACCTAATGTGTCTTGGTTTCTTGTCATTTGTATTTTTCTTTTTGGAAAAGTTCACACAAATGAACAAAAGGAGAACGTACATGCATGTACTTGAAAAAAAACATGGTTTGACTCTTGCATCATGCTTGAGTCTGAGTGCGGCATGCTCACAGACATGCTCGTCGTGACATCTCACGTGAATCTGTTCTTCAAACAGAAAACAATTGGCTGTGTCAACAGCCTGTGACATCTTCAGATGTCACCTTTGGAATGCAATCCATACAAGCTCACATGTATGGAAGTAACTGATATGATAGACAAGTGTTGAGAAAACTACTCAAACAACAACACCATCAGAGTGCACGATTTCAGACCAAGTTCACATGGTCACAAACTTCAATCACCGTTCGCTCAGGAACTGGTCACAAAAGCACTTCTTTTTCGACCCAGGCGCAGCAGTCTCTCAGACATCAAAACATCTGGAGCAACGTATGCCACTAAGTCCATGGATCGGTTCATAGGTTGGTGTGAGCTTGCGGCCACAAGTCAAAAGGCCTGGCGACTTGACTCGATGCACAACCAGTGACTTCCTGTTGATCACCAGCTCCGACTGTCCTTCGAGCAAGTCTCTGTGCTGCTCACGTTCCTCATAGTCATCTTCACTATCTGAAGTGCTTTGTTCACTGTTCTCTTCCGTTGTCTCTGAAATTGCATCCTGACCTTCCAGATCAGGGCCTACAGAAGGAGAAACAGTCTCTGCAGCTCCAAATAGACGCATGTCTTCCGCATTCCTTTGCACAAGGGACCACTCACTGCATGCACTGCCAGTCTCAACGATCTCAACTTCGTCATCCTCATGCGGCTTTGTTTTGACAGGTGTTGGGGCCACCTGCATGTTTGCAAACGGCAGTGGCGTTCCACCCATATACGGCAATGCTCCTGGGGTCAGCATCCCAGAACGTGTTGCATCAGGGCAGAATGATCCATTGTAGATCGCATTGATCACAAGATTCAGCTCCCTCAAGATTGGCGACAAAAGATCTCGTGAATAAACTGCTGTCGCTGTCGAAGCCTTGGACGTGTGCCTGGCTAAGACTGCCCTTGAATACTCCGACAAACCAAATTTCGAAGTCCAGGACATGACAGTAGATTTCAGTGAATGCGTCGAGATTCTGCGGTCCTTTGTCTTTGGCGCCTTCAGCACTTTGCGAAGGAACTCCGAACCTTCCTCGGATGTAAGAGCCCTCTGTGTCCAAGCAGTAGCTGAGGAGTTTGACGGTGCACACATCATTGGTCCATACCCATCAAGTGGAAGCCAAAGATTGCATTGTCGTCTGACATCCAAATAGGTTTGGGCCCATGCACTGCCATCGATACCAATTGCAGGAGCAACAATTGGCAAAAGGCGGGTCTTCATCTCAGCTGAACGAGCGCCCTTATGCGCCCTCGTTGCAACTTCAAGAAAATGACCTTCAGGGTCCATGTAAACTCCATTCACCATAGTCAGATCGCTCCACCGGCTTCTGGCATACAACAAATGGAGCGCATGCCCCGCTAGTGCTCGGTCACCAAGTGGTTCAGACTCATCCAGCAACAAATTGTGAAGAGCTCTGACCTCAAGCGCCGTGAGCAAATCAGCGGGTTTCCAGGGTCGCTTCGATGCACGCATCTGTGAGGACACTCCCTTGATTCGTAGGCTGGCTTCAGCTTTGTCAGCCCCTTCAACTCCAAGGAGATACCAACTGAATCTCAAGGCCTCCACCAGACTCGACGGCTTCGTTGCTGGAGCTCCATCCTTCTGCAATTGTCTGACATATGTCCATACATCAAACTCCGATACAGGTATCCAGTGTTTCTGCAGGTGCGCAACACACCAATCCTCATAGGATTGGATAGCATAGAGACGCCTGAATAACGTGCCTGCACTTTTGACAGCGAAGGTCGCATCCAGAATTTCGATGGCGCAATCCAACACTGTATCTGCTGTTGCTTCCACTGTGACTTTTAGTCCAATTGCACTTGAAACTAAGCTGTGTGCAAGAAGGCTCCACCAGGCATGCAAAGCTTTCTGTCTGCGTTCTGCACGGTTGTCTGGCTCTGCAACATCTTGTACGCTTTTTACAACTGTCAAAAAGACTGCACGACCATCAGCAACACCTACAGGGCGCACAACTGGTGAAGCTTCTACCTTGCCTTCCTCAGTGACAGTAAGGCCCATGCGTAGCAAGCTCTGCGCTCCCATCTTCAACTGAGGTGTCTTCACAGTGATTGCAGGACTGTTTCCAAAGATTTTTGCTAAACGTCCACGTTCCCAAGGAAATTTAAAAACCTTCATGTCAGTGTTCACAATTGCCTGACGCTCGCTGTGTGCACTCAATCCAGACTCAACGGGTTTGCTCAAAGTATCAACCTCGGCAAAATCATCAAAAGTCTTGTCCAGAATTTCTACAGCATCTTGAAAGGAATGTTTGGACCTCTTCTCGCAAGGCTCATCGGCCTCCTGTTGTGACCCCATTGCAAAGCTGCAGCATGAAGCGCCACCTTCATCAGCTGACAAGCCAGATCTCTGAGACCACCGTTTTCGGAAGCCACGCAAGGTACCTCCTGTTTCATTGTCACCCAGGCTTTCGACATCATCGCAAGTGTCTGTGGGCAAGACAGGCATGGTTTTTGTGGCTTTCTGGGGGTCTGCAGCAGCGTTCATAGCAGTGTTTGCAATGGTAAGGGCGCTCAAAAGGAGAACGCAAAGAAGACAGTGGCCTATCTGTTTGACCACTGCTCTCAGCCCTTGACGAAGATGCATCCGCTGAGGCCTCAGGCTCCACCACACTGAAGCTAGCCACAGAAGCTGCTCCTGAATCCGACACGTCACCTGTCAGCTTCTGTCTCAGCAAAGCAGATGCTTTCTCAATCAACTCCGCAAGTTCAGTAACTGAATAATCGCTAAGATCCGACACAGCTCTGAACCCCATGGCATGCGAAGATCAAAAAATAAGGGGATCCCACCCTCCCTCCTCTTGAGAAGTGATGGCAACGATCGCTTGAAGTTGCAGTCAATGCAATTCACTCCTGAAATAAAATATAGTCACATGTGACAGCAATCTTTGTGACCTTTTCTGGCCGCCACATGGAGAGCTGTGTTGCCAACTTTGTCTGTCTTCTTGATATCAGCGCCTTCCTTAAGAAGAAGCTCCACCTTTTCGGAATATCCCCGCTTACTTGCCACGAAGAGAGATTTTGTGCACCACTCCTGCACTTGTGGCTGCAGTAAATGACTCTTCTTCATGGTGTCTAACGAGAGCTCCATGCTCTGAATCTCACCCTTTTCAGTGGCCTTGATAAGACCACAGTCTGTACCTCCACAAGCTAAAAAGTCAAGCTGAAGAACTTTGGAACCTGGTTCCTCTTTTGCATCTTTTTCCTCGTCTTTGTCTCGATCTTTTTCTGGACCTTGATTTGGTTGAGGATCTGGGTCTGTCAGCTCTTTGTGCAACACCTTGATGGTTTGTCCAAATCGATCTAGAGTGATCTTAGTGTCTTTAAGATAGAAGTAGATGGGCTCATCACTGCATCGGAGATTCTGAGCGATAGCTTCAAGGGTGAGGCTGCCCTTCACAGGACCGTTCCAGGCTTCAATGGCAGACAGCTTGGTCACGAGCTTCAAGAGAACGCCATTGGGATCATGAATCTTCGCAATCTTGTCATTGTAGCGTTGAGGTTTGTAGGGTTTGTCGTCCATGGCAAGGCAAGGGTGCTATCCGCAAGGTTCAAGCCAGTGAAAAGTATTGAAAAGTAACCCGACTATCACTGACTATCACACTTTGATTCAGTTTGAAGGCCTCCTACCCTATTGCGACCATGTGGTCATCCATGTGGTCATCCATGTGGTCATCCATGGTCCTCATCAGGCGGTGAATTGTGCTCACCGCTCACCGTCAATTTGCCTGCTTGAATCTGGAAGTGCCCGCGGCAACTACAAGGAGTATCTGCACATCTGGCAGTTACTATTCCTGACAAGCCTTAGCAGCCTTAACAAACAGTGTGTTGAACAGTGAAAAAGATTGAGAAAGCACATGCAGACGAAAAAAGACGGCGAAGTGGTACCAATGGCAGACTAAATATACTAAATGGATCCATAGCATATTACCAGCATACCTGAGGTCCATAATGCGCTCCACTAATGCAATGACATGCAATGACGGTCTATGGGCGCGGCCATGCCTGAGGCACAGTGGCAGGAAGCTTCTCTTGTGGCCGAGGTGGCCTCGTGAGTCGAGTGAGTCTTGGGCCGGAGGTCACGGAGGTCCAAATCGAGTTTTTACTCCCAAATCTCCCAAGGTAGGGTTGATGGAGTTTTTATTGAGTTGATGGGCCTCAGAAACGCTCAGATTGAGTTAGAAATAGCAGGCTCCCAGGAAGGCAAAATGTGATGCTGAAGACTGAAGATGTTGCTTGTCCCTACTCTGCCATAAGATAGGTAAGCCTGGCTTTAAGCCTCTGTAACTCCTATAACTCCTGTAACTCCTGTAACTCCTATCTTCACCAAGTGCTGCCATGCTGCGACTTTGGTGGAGGTACGGCATGACGTGGCAAAAATGCTTCGCCTGGAAGCTGTGACGGCCAAATGTCGAACCGTCTGGCAGCTTCAAGGTACGAGATACCGTGAGGTGATAGCAGCGATAGCATGTGAAAATGTGCTCTTTCAATCTCTTTCAAGGGTCAACGAAACCCAGTTGCATCACAAACTCAGGGATTACTTTTGGCTTTGATCTCTCATGAATTGGTAACAAAAGTTTGAGTCTGGCCTCCAAAAGGGCCGGGCCTGAGCAAATGAGATGCATGTTTTTTTCATGATGCATGTCCTGGCAACGGCTGAATCTTTAAAGTATCCATCACAGTCGCAGAATGTCACAACAAGTGTCACGACCCAAGGAAAAATACTCTTCTGAGTGTAGTAAGCAGTGTCGTTCGCCATGATCGGATGTTTGTCGTCATCTTCAAGCTACTTCATCCAGGTGTCAAAGCATTCCATTTCTCTTTCTTGGCTCTGTCACAGAATATCTTACAGTCTTACAGCCTGAAGAAAAGCTCAAAAGGTATGCACTGAGTATTCACACTCAAACAGAGTGCCCAGCGTATGTGTCGGAGTGCGACTCATTGCTCCTCAATTTTCAGGTATGAGAGGCGTATGACTGGCCCAGCTTGCAGCAAAGCTAAACAGGGATTGTTTCTGCCTCGTGCCCCATGCAAGATCATGCAAGAGTACTGAAACTCACCACACCTCAGAAGGATATCTCCATCCAGATTCCTTTGTTGTATGTGTTCAAATCCTTATCAGACTGAAGTTAGAAGCCAATGGATAGTTTGTACTTTGCTCTTTCACAGCCACATTCTACTTGATTCAAGAGAAGAGATGATCGCCAGAGTACATTCTTGAAAGTCTGCATCTACGTGAATTCGCTGAACATGTTTCAAAAGATTCAAAAAGGTATTTTCAAATGTCCACACGATCGGGATTTGGGGTTCTTCTCCTGGCTGAACAGGCCCCTCTGCAGATGGTGGCCTTGCGTGGGCACTTTGTCTCTTCAAAGCTCGACCCAGAAATGAAGCAGTAAAGCATGTGGAAGCATCATACAGATTTTCTAGTGTAGAATTTTGCAATTTAAAGAGATAAGACAGAGCTCTTGCAGGTAAGAGAAGTAACTTATGCTTGCAGCAAAATCAAAATCAAAATTCGCACATCTTCTCACTAAAAGTTTGAAAGCTTTGGCGGCTTGCCTGGTCTCGTCAAAGCCCAACTCAGCGTCAAACTCGTGCAACCGTCGACGCCTCGACATGACCAAGGTCGGCCAAGGCAGGATAAGGCGATATGACCATTGTGATCATTGTGGGGACTAAGGGAACTGAAAAGCTTTCTGCAGCTAAGCACCAACAAACCAAGAACTTATCAACTTATCCAAAAAAATGCGGTCAAATCACACCCGAAACATTGACCGTTGCAAGGTCGAGTGCTGCGGCGTTTTGTCTGAGAGGGAGCTGTGTTTACAGAACTGGCCCAAGCTGATACTGCGGCCAGAAAATAGCAAAACATAACAAGTAATTAATTACATCAACCACTTGTCTTCACCTGTCTTGGTAGGCTTCACTTTTCAGCATTTGGCCTAAAGCAATGCTGCCAGTGACCCTTCGCACTTCACATTTTTGGCTTCTAGATCCATTCGATATCTCACCGATCTCAGTGATCTCAATATCCAAACGAATTCAAACCACTGCTTCCTACCACATAGTCCACGAGGGCGACAGAGGGTCGAAAGAGGGTCGAAAGAGGGTCGAAAGAGGGTCGACGTGTCGAAAAGTGTTGCGGGTTGCCAGGTCCCAGGCCAATCTCCCAATGCACGATCAAATTGGCGTTTGGACACACGATCCTCCCGGAGTTCAAAGCCCCTGAATGTTTTCATATTTTTTCATATGTTTTCATATGTATTCATGCTTCAAGCAGATGCAAAAAGTTTGAAGATTCTGGGTTTGGGGGGCCTTCTAGCTCAGAATTTCAAGGATCTAGAGAAATGATACGAGGCATCAGTACCAACAAGCAGCTGCATGTCGATGCATGTTGACGTCTGTTGATGTGTGCAAAAGAAACACACCAAATTTGGAGCCCACAAGCGCCTTGGGGTTAGGAGTGCTGGGATGCACCTGAGCTGTCTAAAGCTGAAGGCCAAAATGTTCTTCTAAACTGTGGAAGTCTTGGGAAGTCTAAAACTGCTGCTTTGGTTTATGATGGTTTATGCATCAAATGTGGGATCAACTGCTGGGAGTACCTTGTTGACCACCGATGTTGACGTACTCAAACACAGATATGACATCGACGGACATGTTCATAAGGCTGGGGATTCGATAGCACCCGAGAATCAAAACAGGGCTGCAAAGGCTGGGACCGGCTCTCGGAGATTGACAGGCACCTGCATCGCTAAGAAACAACAGTGCCATTTTCGCTTTCGCATTCTTAGAAGGTTCGAACATAACACCTCCCCACCATATCATCCATATCCATCATGGACTTCAAATGACTTCAACTTAGGTTGTGTGTTTTGTGGCATAAGCTGCTGGCATTGTATACAGTTGTGCAATGTTGTGCACAAAGGCGGAGGGATGTTGTCTCAGCTCATGTGCGGACTCCCCATGGCTATGAATAGGCTGATTTGACATCCGTTTAGCATGCTACAACCTTTTGTTCAGTCACGGATATTCGTGCAGGAGTGAGAACCCTGAACATGTCTGTAAAGACAGAAATTATTGATCGCCAACCCAAAGTATTGAACATCAAGTGTGTTTGTATAGCCGTTCGATCTTGATATGGATAAAGATGACACTTTGTGGTAAGTTTTGTTTGCTGCAAACCACCACCATAGTCAGGAAGCCTTTGACAATTTGGAACGGAGACTGTTGCAGTTGCTTAGAAATCAAGGCCATATGCTGATCTTGCTGACCACCATTTAATCTGCCTCAGCAATGTAGCGACGATATTCAGGTCGAGCCTGTTCGGCAAATGGACATGAGACAACCATAGGAGACCACCGAGACCGGCAATCTACGCTGAAACCGCAAAAACCCGACACAGAAACCTGGCAGCACAAATCGCACACATTCATCGCAATCTCAATGGCCAGTTGGTGGTCAGAGCTTTGGAACAGAAAAGTCTGCCTTGCCAATCGCAATCTGGCGCATCCGAGCTGCCTCCAGAAAGCAAGCTGTGTCTTGTAAACCACTCACAGAGAATTCTCCCGGCAGAAGTCAAGCAGGAGGAAATGCAAAGGAAATGTATTTGGAGAAGTCAAATGCTCGGCCACAAGCTGTAACACCATGCTTCGAAGTTTCAACATGTTAAAACGCTGTGCTGAAAGCTGATTGCTACAACCCCTGTAAGTTGATTTTTAGGCACCAACCACTTTATGCGTCAAATCAAGCGCTTCATGTGTTTCAAGCCATGCCTCGCGACGCACCCAAACCGCTTCTGTGTCCTCCTGGTCATGGGAGACACAGGCATTTCAGGTGCTTCACACGCAATACGACGAGATTGACTATTTTTACATCTGATGAAAGCACTGGTTTCACCAGTGGCTAAATCATTACATGAAATTACCCCAAAAAAATCGCCCTCTAAAAATCTGATCATGTAACACTTGGGATACCAGCAAGATTTCTATGCATTAAAAATGTCGGCCACCTATTTTCAGCCTGCATCGCCTCATGATAAATCCCTCAAATCCCTTCTGCGAACAGGAAAACAACTCAGTCGGTCGATCTTTACAGGCACAAACAATGACATTTATGGGTCTACCATGTGCTTCAAACATCTTCAAACTAATTTTGGAGGTAATTGGAATGGGCCAAAGATCCGGCCTTCTCAAACTGCAACTGGCTGCACAGACATGCAAGATTCAATAAAACAATAACCATACAATAACCTTCACTTCGGACTTGTTTCCCGCCCTTGTTCCATTCTGGGAGTCCTCTTCTTCCTGCACTGGAACCTTTGACCACATGTGTCAACTATGTCAACTTGCAGTGCAACTTGTGCAACTTCTAAAAATGTGATCAGATTGTCATGTTTTGAAACCATTTTGAAACATACCTTGAAGCAAATAAAACACAGCTGGCTCGGCAACCCCTTGGTGTCCCAATGAAATATTTAAACGCAATGCATGGATTATATCAGCTCAGTACATACTCTCACATATGAGAGTTTCTGTGCACACCGATTTCCTATTGCCACTATCATTGATGGCTGCAGTTGTTGCAAAACCACATATGGTCAACCAGGACCCAGGAGAAATTTCACGAGAAACTGGCGGTCTTATTCCTCGCATCTGCACTTCTTAGCCTCTCTGGGAAAACTTTGCAGTACATGCTATGGTTGCTTCACAGGTGGGCTGACAACAGTTTCCTAAAACGCTGTAGGTTTTGCCGGGTCATACTGAATCACAAAAAGTCGACACAAAACAAAATCTATGTGTTTTTCTGAATTTTGTATCGTTTGGTCCAACTCCAAATAAGACCGAGAAACGTTTTGCTGCACGAAGTACTGACTGATTTGCGACCTGACGTCGGCGTCACAATGAGTCTTTGGTCTGGTCGTCTGGTCAGTCCAAATCCTTTGATATTACCTTTGGCATAACGGCCGGCATAGGATTGCTTCGGGGACATTTGACAGCTGCATTGACCCCGAAAGCATCCCGAAACGTTCCACTGGAGAAGGCGAGGGACAAAAATGCCAAAAGCGCACCACGAAAGTTTGTGAGGTTTCACCTTTCCGTCTGTAATATGGCATGAAGGTTTCACACAGATAGTATTGTGGTTTTCATTGTTGTTTGCCCTTGTTTATCCTTCATAGAGACACCATCCCAGACAGCCCTGCCTGGACTCCATTTTAGGGAATTGCAGATCGCGTTTCAAGGAGTTCGAACCCAACATGCACTACAATGGGACAAAAATGATCACGGGCCTGTGGAAGTTGTGGCAGATTGCATTCCGGTTCTTTTCTACCAATTGTCCATGTATATAATTGTTTGCCGTCTCGCAAGTGCGAACATGATGCCAGTTCACTTGTGTTGCACAAAAACAATGAATACAATAACCGCAATAACCAACACATTTTGAAAGACGGCAACTTGGCTGCACGGCTGCACCTCACATTTTTTTGATTTCCAACCAGGTTCCAAGTAAATCGAAATCCCTCTTGCATTTGTGAAAATGCTCGCCGTGCACAAATTCGGCTTCAAAAATATGATTCTATATACGTTCCAAATTGTAATCTGGGTGTTTTCATGGCATCACTTCAGAAATTTGGTCAAGTGTTGTGATGTGAAAAGGAACAGATGCACAAAAACAACATGGGGACTACCGTCACTTTGCAAACGTTATTGTCTGTGAAGGTGGAAATGCCATGTAGACACACCCATTCAACATTTTTGACACACCCGCTGGCGATTTCACTGAAAAGGATTGAAAACAGTACCCAGCAGGATCAGCGCAACCAATGCGATGAGGTACTCCGTTTTGTATTCACTCACCAGGCCCTGCTTCTCCTGAAATTGTTTTTTTGCACATGGATTGCTGCCCATGCATGAACTGAAAAATAAAATGTTCGGTTGTGACATGTTGTGAATTATGATCGACCACAAAATAGTTCAATCATGTTCAATCACTTTTATTAGAACAAAACAAATGATTTTTTGATGTTTTGTTTGAACATTTCACTCCTGCGACTGCTGAATTTCCTTCTCTCGATCAGATGGGGCACGCCCACCAGCGGCCACAACAGTCAAACGTCTCAATGCGCACCGAGTTGGCATTTTTGGTGGAGATGGACCACGCGGGCAAACCCAGGAAGGGACGAAAACATACAGCATACAAAAAAAACAGCAAACGAACATTCGACGAGCCATGGCAGTTTCCAGGCAAGGCACCTTCGTTGAAGACTGAGTTGCATGGAACAAATCATGTATTTTTTTTCCATGCAGGCAAGAATCGTACAAACATGTTTTGCGAATCTGCAGAATCGAAGGACCACACTTGAAATTTGTTTTTTAGCATGTTCATCCAATTCCATCCATTTGCACGTGGTGTTGTGCAGCGTATCCTATTTTTAAGTTTTGAACCAAATTGTCCACACGAATTGTGCGCCGTTTGTCTGACATGGATGACAAAACAGTCACGTCTATTGGCACTGCGCATGTTCGAAACATAATTTTGAGTTTGGTGCAGTTGTTTTTGCAAAGTGTGTTGTGAGTGTGTTTTCCGAACCATTCGATTCCAAAAAAATTCCCGTTTGACCTGTTTGGCAAATGTTCCCGAGAAACATGGGTTCACAGCAACCATTCAAAATCAACACATTTTGCACATTTGGAAACCATTTCCATCAAGAATTGTTGTATCAATGATTTCTATTGGCCACAGGCGCGCGGAATTTTTCCCATTGGTTTACGTTTATTTCAACTCCCAATTTTCGCGATTTGACCCTCCGCATCACCTGCATGTTCATGGTTCACGTGATGTTCTGAACGCAAACAGACCAAATGCGAAGCAGGAGGTTTGTTAATGGCACCAGCGACGCTGTCGTGATGGCAAGAAGTATTTGGACAGTCATGTTAGTTTCCGTAAACAAAGCGATGTTCCACCAAAGTAGCTGCACAATTTCCAGCACATATGCCTTGATTAAAAAGCACCGCGTGCTGTTCCAGTGATCGATGGTTTTTTTTGCACGGGTTCTGCCTGTGAGGCTCTTACGCCAAGGTCAGACATCAGCAGTAATCGCAATGGGTGAAACAAGCAAATAATTAGGCTCAGACGGCAGGAAAGCAACCAACAAAACAAGGGCCCCCACCAGACAAAGAACCAACCAGACAGCGAAGCAAAAACCGAGCCAACTACCGCGTTCCGGGCCCTTAAACACTCAGTTCATTTTCTCCACGGATCTTCCCAAACAGTGGATTTTCCCAAACATCGTTCCAGTGCAACCAGCATCATGCAATCCCCAGAACGTCATCACAGAGTGCCAACAAAGCAAATTCTTGTCACCTATCCTTTGAACCTAAAAACTTCTGAGACTTGTATTGATGGGTTCGTCACATCAATCGACATGTTTGAACTCTGAAATTCAAGCAGCTGCCATCCGCATCTTTTTCCATATCGGGGGAAGAATCGAGGTTTGAGATTCTGATATCTCATTTGATGTCTGTACATTGATCTTTCCAACCTGCTGAAAATGATCCATCGGTTTGGAAGTCAGGTTGGACTGGTTCGGTTTCCATTTTCCCCCCGTGTTTTAAGGAGAGGGAGGGCGAGAGAAAAAACAAGAAGTAAATTGAAGTGTTACATCATGTCCATGTCATGTCATGAAATTAAATCTGAATTTGACGTGACATGAAAAATGACATCTTTCACTCCAATTTGTTAAGGAGGCTTTGTTGCCTTCCTTGCCTTCTTTGTTGAAGGTCTTAAGCCAAACGATGCAATCATTGAATTCATCTCTGAACTGGTTCAATGAATCATGCTCATCCAACTCAAACTTCAACTTGGAAATTATTCTGAAAAAATATTTCGTTTTAACTCCTTGTTTTTCAACCCTACAAGTTTTTAGGTCGTTTTGTGATGTGTCCCAAAACTCTCAAAGTACGGTTCCAAGAAAGTAATCTCCACGTTGTGTAAAATCCCTTCTTGTCACCTATCCTTTGAACCTAAAAACTTCTGAGACTTATATTGATGGATTCGTCACATCAATCGACATGTTTGAACTCTGAAATTCAAGCAGCTGCCATCCGCATCTTTTTCCATATCGATTCTGATATCTCATTTGATGTCTGTACATTGATCTTTCCAACCTGCTGACAGTGATCCATCGGTTTGGAAGTCAGGTTGGACTGGTTCGGTTTCCATCTTCCCCCTTCTCTAAACCGAATCTGTGGCGACTGCTTCGGCTCCGTTCTTCGCGGCTTGGACTAGCCATTCAGCTACTTGATGTTGGCACTGGAATCCCTTTATGAAACGGGCTCCCCATCTGACGGATGCCTGCTCTCCTGCCAACCTGGAGGGTTCGTCTGCAGGATTGCTCTTGCTTGGCACCCTTTCTATCCACCAAAAAGACGGCAGATGAACTTCAATCGAGTAGAAGGCCTTGACCAGGTCGTCCATTGAAGGACTGTTGGATCGACCTTTGATGGTCCCCCCCTTGCTGAATTGTTGTCAACAAAGAGAAGGACGCGGCGATTATGAAGCTCGTGCATCCATTGCCATCTTACTAGCATCATCGCAAGGAGTTCAATCTGACAGATGAGTTGTTCTCCGAGTGTCCCTTTCCACAACGACAGCAGACTTCCATGCACCTCGTCCTGTATCACCACGCTGGAACCTGTGGACTCATCCAGAAGCACCGCTCCTAGGCCTCCTACTCCCTTTTCCCAGGAACCATCTGTGAACACAAGTGCGGTCTTTGTGTTGATGGTAATTGGAATGGTCCTGGGCCGGACACTTTTGAGCAGAACAAGAACTTCTTCACACCAAGCTTTCAGTTGCCTGGATTGGAACTTGCCCTTGTCTACCAAGGAAAAGATGTTGAAACATGAGTACTTCAAAGATCTCCCTGCAAAGTATCCTGTAGCGAAGCTCAAAAGGCCATGGATTTCCTGCGCCTCCGCCAAACTCATGCTGCCAGACTGTTGGATTCCCAGAATTTTGGAGGAGATCTTATCCATTTTTCAAGGTCACAACTCCGGCTTGCTTCAAGTTGGTCAGGTCTAATGTCATTCCCAGCACATCAAACGATGGCGCAAACGGTTTTCCTTTTGGTCCCGTTCTGTCATGACGCCACCCCAAGAGATCTAGGAAATCAGACACCAACGCATCAGTCTCTGGCGCAGCTTTTTTCGGTGCAAACATGGGGTAATCATCGAAATACACCGCTGAAGGTGCTTTCAAAAGAACATTAATCAAGAACCAGATTGATCTACTGACTCGGTTGAATGCGTACACTGCGGCCGTTGACCCAAACATTAAGGCATTGGGAATATAGTATCTGGCTTTCCCTTGCTTATCTCTGAAGAACACCACTGCCAGATCTCTATGACTTGGCCTAATGGGCAATTGCTTATAAGCCTTGGACAGGTCTAAGGTTTTGCCTACCCAATCGAAGCCTTTAGTCTTCCCAAGTTCTAATGTCAAGGCAATCACATAGTCTGCATCTTGCAAGTCAAGTCTGATCGTTGAAGTGTATGCCGAATTCAACTGCGCCTCCAGTCCGTCATCTATGGGCCTCAGTTTTGCCCCCTGCTCTATAACGAAACGCCTCACTATGCGCCAGTTAGGATGGCCGAGGGCCTCTGTCACTTCTGCAGCTGACTGGCAAGGTCCTTCAAGAAACGACATGTCAACCTCTTCCAGTGCTGTTTCCTCCAAGTGTTCAGCAAAGCCCGGCGCATCGGTTTGCGGCCTCCTGTTTTCCATGGCCAACCTGCAAGGCACTGCCGAGTCTCTAAGCTCTGTTTCTGTGGTGGATGCAAGCTTGATCTTCAGAGGATAGCACTTAGGATGGTCATGCGTTCCTACGAGGGGAACTCCTTCCGTCATGAACTGCACCACCTCCATGTCATCGTACCCATTCTGTTCCAGCAACTTTTGCCAAAGTAATATTTTCTTTCCTTGAACCACTTTTGCTATCGAGCCAGGAAGATTGTTCTGCAACGTCTTCTCCTGACCCTCCAGTTGCTTGGCCAGGATTTTGGCCTTCAACAAGTTCTTTTTCCTTTCTATCGACACAAGTTCTGGGGGATTACATGACACAAACTCAATCGCCTCCTTTGTAATCTTCTCCAACGCATTCTCATCCATAGGATGGCGTGCATTTTGAGCTTCATTCACAAATTGCGTTGGTGTGTACCAAGTCCCCACCAAGACGTCTCCGTTTGACCTTTCTTCTGGATCCCCTTCTTGGTATTCCCCCCTTAAGGATGAAGGGATCAGTTTTTGCTGGTCGGTGAGGCTAACGGTGGACAGGAGCCACCTGATGGCGGCAAACTCAGGAACAAGTTGGGAGCGTCTTTTGTGCTGCCGGTGCTGAACAGCCAAGGTTTTAATCCTAGGGTTGGGGGGAGGAAAAAACGAAATGTTTTTGGCCTGCAAAAATTTTTTGACGGCTGCGGCAACACGTGCTGCCAACAAGGCTGGGTATACTGCTTCACTGGATGTGTCGAAGGTCCATGTGCCATCATCGGATCGAACCTGATATGGTAAGTGGTCATGATCATTTTGGCAATGTGCTGTCAACAAGTCAAAGACACCCCGAGTGGATTCCCAGCGGGTTCCCTTCTTTCTTTGGCCGCCGTGGCAGCAGTTGTGAAAGAAAATCTCTGTGAGAGAATCCCAAAATTTGTAAGATCAGAATTGTTCTGGGCCTGAACATATGCCAAAATGGCTGCCCAAAACCAAGATCTATACGGGTTTTCCAAGCTAATCACTGAGTTATATTTCATAGCGATTAGGAGGATGTCTATAGCAAATCTGTACAATTGGTTGGCTTTTTTCAGCCTGATGCCTGATGTTGAATCTGGATTAATGTGGGGCAGGCCTAATGGATGATCTGCAGAACGCAGTGGTGGGGGTTGTGGAGCCCCCTGTCTAATTTTATCCCTAGCAACGGGCTTTTCCCTGGCTCGGGATGCGGTGCCGCATTGCATGCCCAAATGGATGTAGTCTGGCGGCCGGTTGGTCAAAAGGTCAATTAAGATTTTCTGATGGTCGGCTTGGGTCAAATCCAAGAGGGTTACTGGCACCTGAGGGTCATGCATAACATGGTCCACTGCAAAAACCGAAAAACCTGCATCGATCAACGCTCTGGACAATGAGGCCTGCCCACAACAGATTTCGACTGCAAAAGGCTGCTGAGGTGACACTT